ATCGCGAGCGCCCAGCACATTAGTTTCCGATCCGAGTGATGAGCCGGCGCCCCTGGAGCCAAAGGGACTCTAAACGAAAAAACGCCAGGTCCCGTTCGCTCGATTTCCAAGTCGGCCAGCGCACATGACCGAATTCGGTCATATTTGCGCTGTGTCAGTTTGTTTCCGGTACCATCCCGTATCCAGGGGTTGTCCGCCCACTGGAAGGTTGGCCAAAAACGTCGTGTTTCGGCTGAAAATGGACAGGGTGGCGGAGGCAACGGGGCATTCAACGAAATTTTCAGCCGATCCCCGTCTCGCCAGCCTAACGTCTGAGCGATGAGGAGTGGCATGTGTGTGGCATGATGGTCCATTAGGACCGAAAGATCTATGGGTTGCGGGCGAAGCCATGTCCCTAACTCGACTCTTTATTCTGCCCAGGGGATATGGTGTTTCGTGTGTTGGAAAGGCCCCGGGTCTCTCGGTGTAATGATCGGCTCACCTTGTGAGAGAGATCTCCGAAATGCCCAATATTTCCAGGCCACTGCGTACCGATCGGACCGCTGTGTCAACCACAGAAGTGCATGTTTAATGCGTTGCGCTTTCACCGCCACTGGAATCGAGATTATTCTAATGCCGCCTGCTGCTCGCGGCGTGTATAATAGTCCCGGACTGACTTTGTGCCGACTTGTCTCCGTTGATAACGAGTGACGCCAGAGAAATTGTTTCTGGAGATTACGGAGCTCTCGGTCCCCCCAAGCAGGCGTGTCAAACACTGCCGCAGTGAATAGTATTCCAGGCAACAGAATGACATTCATAATCTGCGCCCGGAACGTCACACTAGTCGCCAGACGGGTCGCCGTAGCAAGCCGCCTCTGCACCGTTCGTATCCGGACAGCCCAATTGGCGTCTGCTAGATCACCAGTTCCGACTTAATGCCCGAGGTATCGAGTCGTGGCACCCGATTGTAAAACAGGTATACCTTCATAGCTGGTAACTGACACCGCCGTGTTCAAGAAGATCACTTGACTTTTGGATGGCTGTACTGTAAGACCTGATAACTTCCCAAAAGTAGCCACGAGGTCGAGCACTCGTGGAAGCTGTCGGGCTTCCTGGAGGAAGACCGTCGAATCATCCACAAACGCTGAAAAAACATGACGCTCTGATGAAGACCCGGGCACCATGACTCCAGTAAGGCCGGGATCCTGTGTAATCGCTAGTGCCAAGACCTCCACCGCTAATACAAATAATAACGGCGCGAGAGGGCAGCCCTGACGAATTCCAGTGTTGAGCTCCATGGACTCAGATAATTGACCAGTGACCAGATCTCGTGCTGTCGTGTTGTCATGAAGCTTGCGGATCATCGAAACGAAGGCCGGCGAGAACCCAAAGCGGTCCAGAACAAGAAATAGAAAATCGCGAGCGACCGTGTCGTACGCCTTTCGAAAATCTAATAATAAAATTACCCGGCTATTCTGCGCGGTGACATCTTGTTCATTCTGGGCAGTAGCTAAGACTGCCAACATCATCATCACTGTTTTCATCATGTGGCGATCATGGACGAATCCTTGCTGTGTATCGCCTATTGGTTTCGTCAGAACGCGTTGCATTCGTGTAGCCAAGACTTTTGCAAAGAGCTTGTACCCTGTTTGTAGCAACGAAATTGGCCGATAATCCATGGCATCGGCGGAGTCACCTTTCTTACGAAGTGGGATGATGAGTCCATCCAGAAATGAAGAGGGTGGGTCTTTACCTGCCAGAAGTTCGCTACCAATTATTACCATGACCGGTGCTAACAGAGCTTGGTTGTCGATATAGAAATCATTATTAAGACCATCCGGCCCCGCCACTTTGTGTCTGCTAAGACCAGCAAAAGCTGCGATCATCTCAGGTAATTGAATCGGTTGGACAAGGTGATAATTGTCCGATTGTGTCATGTGTCGGTCCGCTGGTATCCGCACAAAAGCCGTAAATACGTGGTCCAGTGAGCTCGTTGGGATTGTGTTATGACTGCACCCAAGTATAGGCTGCCATTCCGTCGCAAAGCGGTCAGCAGTACAGGCTTTAAGGGCAAATGGTACCCCGTGAAGATGTCGTAAGCCAGTTACCGTCTGGTCCGCCTCCCAGTCGGAGACCCGTTTAAAATTCCACCGCAGTCGATCAGTCGTTCGCTCCAGTCGATTCCCCGCCGCAATTAAATATTCAGCTCGTAAAGAGTCCTGATTGGCTTGGATAAGCTGCTTTCTGAAACAGAGTCCGGCACGCGCTTGAGCTTGTAATCGGTTAGCATACCGTGTACTACGCTGTTTATGTTGCTTCCGGATGGTCCGAATCGCCGCGACGCACGTGGTGATCATATGGTCCCAGGTACTCGCTGTGACTGACCGCCCCACTTCGTTATTGATCATCTCCGCCAATAAATCCGCCTTGACTCTCGTCGCTTGGAAAGATCTAATGGGGTAAGTGACCACGCGCCTCTTGTTAATTATCGGAATATTCCACATACTCTGCGTTAGTAGGAGCGAAACCTGCTGATGATCAGAGTCGACAGGAGGAGCTGAAACCACAACCCATTGCACCCTCGATGTCCACTGGTGCGGAACGTAAAACCTGTCAATTCTGCTTGCTGTGGATTGAGTCCAGTAAGTAAAATATTCGGTTGGGTCGGGAGTATCCACATCGTCGAGTGGTGCCGCTAGAATGCGCGCATCGGTGAGTCCCAACCTGGTGATGAGGTCAGCAAGCGCTGCACTTTCCTGGCGCCCCGACCTGCGACCCCCGAGCCGATCCAATACTGGACTTTGAACAGAGTTGAAGTCGCCCGCCAGGACTACTGCGCATGACGGCCATGGCCAGTGCAGCAGCCGGGAGAAAATTCTTCGCGCTCGTGGGCGGTATTAGGGGCATATATGTTAACTAACAAGACCCCCGCTAGCATCAAACCTGCAGCGCGTTCCGTCCATAGTTATGGGTGCCAAGGAGTTGCATCGGAAGCACGGCTAGGATCCAGTAAAAAAGCCACCCCTCCGCTTTTTCCATTTCCGACACTCCAGTAAGATAGAGGGGACCCGTCAAAACGTGAAGTGTACCCCCACCGCCGCCCCCATCATATCGAAGCTTCTCCGCTAATTCTACGCTGTCGACATGTGTTTCTTGCAAACAGCGCACGATGGGTCTATTGTTGGTAGGACCTCTATTCCATGCCTCCATCCACCGATCACGAGTCGTGTCCTTGAAACCGCGGACATTTTGTGTGTCGACACACACCACCCGCTTACTTCTACAAATGACATCATGGGTGACCGTTTGGCCCATAAAACCGCCTTTGAGGCGATAGTGTGTGCCATAGACATCAACGTCCGCCGGGGCACTAGCTAGCCGTAGATGCTGGCGATCTTGGCGTTGACGGTGGTGGATGCCCTTAGTAGTGAAGAGTCCGCTGAGGACTCATCTGGGCGAGCGCTTGCTCAAAAACTTCTCTAATATCGACCAGTCCGCAGAGGCAACCATGGCTGCGTATGCCTCCCGATACGGTTTATTACTCTTCAGCCCGGCAAAATGCCGTCGCAACCGCTTCGTAACGCCGTTATCAGGCTCCTCGTCGCTGCCCGTTAGTGCTATAATTTCGTCGTGAAAGATCAGCACACATAAAATGTGACGCGCTAACTGCGTCTTGTGATGCACATCGCAACGGCGTAATAATTCATCGCTGGCATAGCCCCTGTCACGTAAACGGCGCCAGTCATCACTATTGTCAATTAGAGGAGACAGCATGGTACCCGCTAAGCGCCGTGACGTCCGCCCCTTCCAATCGTCAAGCCAGATCTGAGTATTTTTATCTGTTGTACGGCTGCGGTAAGCCATTAAACAGGAGTACATACACTCTTGTCGCCAGGTCGCGGTCCATGTCTGTACGGTTTCATCACTCAAGATCGTCAATAATGCACTTTTATGCGAAATTCGTTGAATCATCCGGAGAAGGAGTCTCGATTCCACTTTCGCCGCTTGAACCCACTGCGCAGGCGAACTGTAAACTGTGGGAAAAACGACCTTCGACTGTTTTGGCCATTCCGACGCTAAATCTAGCCACATTTCCTGCCACGTCTAGCTGCTCTCGAGTTGCAATACCTTGGCCGGACCTGCTTCGAGGAGCAGCCTGTCGTTGTTGCTGCTGCCTTTTATTATTACCAGAGCAGTGGGTTTGTTTCGAACAATCACAGCCTTCTGTTCGCGTTCATCTGGTGCCAAGACGTGAGTCCTCGTTGTAGGCGCGCTCGATTAAAATGCGCGTGGAGATACTTGCAACGCCAGAGCTGTGGAACTCCCGATAACGCCTCTTCCAGCCGCCGGGTCAGCGCTGGTTGAGGTGCGTGGTACATGTGACTGCTGAAGTGGTGACGGCGGGGCGGAAATCGCGGCTTAAACGGCCCCATTCCGCTCTAAATCTTCATATTGGTCGGTCGCCTCGATCGGCTCCGCTGCTTCCTTTATTTCCTCATCACTATCACGATATCACTCATGTCTTCACCGGAGGAATTACCACGGTCGACGTTGCGCTCATCCCCCGTAGCCTTGTCTAAAGTCGGCAGCCGGTGGACAAAGGCAGAGTAGTGGCCATCCTCGTACTTATGGATCAACGGTGGTGGGCTTGACCTATCACCATTGACTGCCCTTATCTTCTCAACACACTCTTGAACAGTGAGAATAATTTGCTCTCCCGTTTCAATAACCCGACGGGCCTTGGTCATTGAACTAGGCTGATAAAACCCACAGTGCCAACACTGCGACCCATCAATCGCTTGACAAAAAACATAGATTGTTTGTTGAAGGAAGTTCGCTGCCATAGTCAGCGTCTCACAGCCTCCCCAATAGTATCGGTCCAACATTGTAGTCGGGTCAGTGAGACTGGACGCGTATTCTTCGAGGTACCATTTAAACTGTTTGGTAGCTTCACTCCTCGGCACATCCATCCAGCCTCTGGCAACGTTCACCAAAGTGGTCACTCGGGCTTGGTGGCTGAATTAATCCATCATGTGCATCTGTCCCGTGTATTTGATGCCTCTTTTTAAGCTAGATGTAGCGGAGAGGAGGATCTTATCTCGGTGACGCAAGTCGTTGTTAGCGAGCGCCTGGACCAATGCCATGGCCGAACAATTCCCGTTCGCCGGAGTCTGAACAGGCAGAATATCCAACTGCTGTTGGATAATATCGTACGACCCGGACCCCAGATCAACGCCATCCGGCAGCCGCGGCAATACACGAGATCCACAGTAACCCTCCACTTGAGCGATATTCCTGAGAAGCTCGGTCCGTTCCTTCTGTTTTAGCGCCACTAATTGAGGCGTCAGTGGAAGCTTCGGTGGTGTTTTCTTTATCAGCCGAAGCTGGACCGTAGAATCCGTGGCCTTGTCAGAGTGTCGTACGGCCGCGAGCGCTCCTGCACCGCTCGTATCCGGCTCTTCGAGAGCAGAAAAAGGTGCATGAACAACCGCCTCGACCTCTTCGACGTCGACCTCGTGTTGGTCGGCCAGTACGGCATACCGCGATGACAAAAATGCACGCCGGCTAGATAATGTCTTCGTAGCACTTAATGCCTTCCGTCCCTGAGGAATAGAGACTGTCACCCATTGTGGCCTAGGCTTAGGTTTGAGCTGCGCAAGTGGTGTTTGTCCAGACTGGTCAGGTTGGGCGGTTGAAAGACCACCAATTCCGGACGCCGCCACGATACGACCATCACGACCGTCGGAGTTGACGCGGTCCACGGCAAGCGTGGGCACCTCAACAGAAGGGGGCTGGACTGCCTGTGCAGAAATCGTATCTGCTTGGTCTTGAAGGCGTATACGCTGGGCCGCGATGTCGCGCATCTCGGCAAAGCAACGGAAAGGAGCAGCCAGATCCTCCAGCTGCGGCACCTCTTCCTCGGAAGCCACAATACTGCCGGGACCACGCAGCTGCTCCGTCGAAAATCCACATCTTGCCATAGTATGGCCTATGTTCCCGCACCGTAATATTGCAGCATCTTCCCCACTTCGGGGTGTTTGAAAACAATAACTGTACCAAACCATAGTAGGCGCACCACATCACGTAGAAAATCGGGGCAGCCTGCTAATTGGATCGTCAGTCGCCACACCGTTGATGTCCTAGAGTCCGGTGTGCACGTGCCCAAAGGTTCCAGATCAAATTCAGGACTAGTGTGGGCCGTCAAGAATGCTGTAAAGCGTCCAATGTCCATGTAGCGCGTAACATTGTAGAGTCGAATAACATACTCAGTCTGCATCTTGAGGCGAGTACCATCGGCTCCGACTTGGCAATCCCACACTGAACCAGAAGTAGGTGCGTGCCGATTGTGGAGGCGGTAGATTTTCCGACGGAACGGCACGAGTGTGTTCTGAAATTTTGTCGCCGTAGCTCGCTGAAAAAAGTGAATGTTAATCGACTTCTGAACCGTGCTGTACCCAATTGTCTTCGCCTGACTGAGCATGGTGTGCAGTGCCTGTAGATTCATCTTCAACCCTTCGGCCGCCAGCAGTATGTCTTCCTTCAGTGCCTGGGTATGATGTCGACTGGATGGAATTGCCCCTTGCCCAGCCAATGAGAATGATAGCTCTCCTTCGACTTGCAGCTGAATGGTCGACAGGAGTCGCAATCGATCTTTCGCATTTATCACTTTCTTGATAAAGTGTGGGCATGAGCGGCTCACAATGTGACCCTCCGCCAGTCCCTGAATGATTTCCCACTCTTCATCCGTACCATCCCGAAGCCGGGCACCCGTGGAGCGCGTGTCCTGCGCTTCACACAGTGAACGGAGCCGAGCAACGGTAGCCGCAGCATACTTTTCCGGATTGAACATATACTGCTGCTAATGTTCTCGAGCAGGGAGAGTCTCGTCCGATCTGGCTGGTGGAGCCCGCCCGGCTACCGTTGCAGCCCATTGGTTCATAACAGGTTTACGTGCCCATTTGACCTTGCTGGTCATGCTCGCTAAAATGGTCGACAGCGACCACGTCGTATTATACAAGTCTCGACTTATTGTCCGCGCGTACCCGCACCATTGCTCAAAGGTACAGCTATCCACCTGCTCACAAAAACAGAAGAGAAGCGCTGGCTCCACTCCCTTCAGTAGCGGATAGCGTTTCTTAGCCGGCGGCACACGATCCGGATTGACCTTTACAGACTCGAACACGTCAGCAAATAAAGCCACTACGGTCGTTTCCAGGAATCGCGTTGCTCCGCCTCCGGCGAGGCTCGTAGTTCTGTCGTGACAGCCCGAAACATCTCTTCAGCGCTCATAGTGGGAGGAGGCTGAGCCTTTACTTCTGCAGAATCCTCGTTCGGAACCGGCCGCCCCCGCTGAGTTTCCCCAAGAACTGGATCCGTACCAGTCGGGGCGGGGGAGTGCAAAGAGTGGCCCAACCTCCCCTCCGGAACCTCAGCTGCCGCCCTGCCCCGTGCAGTATCGGAATCGCTGGTAGATGAAGCGACGCTTGCTGAACGCTGCAAGCGCCCCGACGGATTGGGCGCACCCGCAGCCCTCGACGAAGAAGTGGGGGATGACCCATGTTGGTCCGGACTAGATCCATCCACACATTCGCCCCCGCCCATACGTCCTGCCCGCTCCAAGCCGAAATCCCGCCCCCAACTGCCCTTCCCCGTCGCACGTAACGTCATGCCTGGCTGGGTCCCGCCCCCTCCATTCTCAAATTAAGTGGCCCGAGCATGAGTGTGTGGTCCACACTGATGGTGATCGAGGGAGGGTTGGGACCCCTCTTCCTCCACCCGCTGTCCTGTGAGAGCTGCAGACTGGCCCACCCCTCCGGGATCCGGAGGGTGTGGATCCTTCAGTGCTTCCCCGACCTCAGCATTAACTGAGGCGTTCCATGCTGACCGGGTCTCCCCGTAAGCTGTTGAACTTTGATCTCTAGACGGCCTTGTAAAGACTAAACCGGATTCTCCTCTAAATCCCTACGGAGTAGTAGGCAAATTTGGTTGAGAATATCGCGTACAGCATTGTGTTAGGAGAAACAGAACATTCACACAATAACATCCTGGTCGATGATATTGCTTCGCAGATGTATTACGCTGCTCATTGGTTGACCAGGGACCAAAATATCAACCAGTAAAGTCTAGCCATGACAGAAGCGCGCAAACAGTGGTGGACAGGTAGTTACAGTACATGTTTGTATGTAGACATAGTCAAATGAAGTCGAATAGGGATTTGTTAAAATGATTTACTACTAAATGCAATTCTACATTTGATCTTTACTGAGTACTCTTACTCCATTTAGCAATCTTCTTCTGCTCGTACGTGTACGTGAGGTAGTCCGGCACGCACACCCTTGCACTGTCAGTAGTGAGAGTTTTTTCCGGTTAGCTGGATAAGGTGTGCCCCGTTACACATATACCCGACGTCGTCGGTGTAACACCTCAACACCAACCAACTATCATCATCGTCGCCGATGTTGTCGCACTCAACTCATTCTTCCGTAGAGGCAGGACCAGTCACAACCCGCCATACCATCAACTCTTCCTCGAACAAATTAAAACCGACTCGTCCCCGTTCACGCAACCAAGAACGCTAGAGCTCAGAACTACAAGCTTATTTTCTAAATGTCTATGACAGTCATGTGCTCGCTCTAAATGGTGGAAAGGGGTGAATGAAAAGAAGCAGTTTGGCAAGAACCGATGCAGCTGTCGACAACAGCAACTGCAAAAAAAAAAAAAAAAAAAAAAAAAAAAACGTGCGGTACAAGCGCTGATGCTCAAATGGCCCAATGTGTACGAATGAGCAGGCTTCGTCGTAAATTTGTACGCACACGAATCCACACCAAGCTCATCGTCCAATCTTGACACGCCACAGCGGAGTGATGTCTGTACGCACGTCCCTGTCCGTACCCTCTCCACTTCAGTGACACACGACATTTCGACAGAAAATACCCGACTCACCCAAAACGCCATCCACTGAACGACCCTCCCCCCACACTCTGACACTGAACCACCCACATAAATATGCTCTTTAAACGCCCGCCTCCATCCCTCCCCCACCCTTTGCCTCCTCCTCCTCCTGACCAATCAAACGACAAATAAATTACCGCACACACATGGAGCGCGTCATCTCGCAGACACTCGCGTCCGCGCTGCCGACTTTGGACGAAGCGGTCGTCACGTACCTCACGAGCGTCCTCACGGACGAGCTCGCGGACGCCTCGTCTGTCACCCACGACTCGTCGACGCTCGAGGCGCTTCTCGTCACGCACGTCGCGCCGTTTCTATGGAATGAGCACTTTGTCTCGGACCCCGCGTCCGAATCGCACTTCTGTGCCGCTCTTGCCGATAAATTACTTACCAGTACCGAACTTAAGCAGTACTTAACGACCACTGCCTTAGCCTCCTCCAAGTCGAAAGAGCTCCGTGTGCTGGAGAACACGCAGAGCATTGAAGAACAGGCGCGAAGGGATGGACAGAGCGGGGCAGGAGACGCCGAGCAGCTCCTGGAGCGCATGTGGGGCTTTGACAAGATCCGGAAGACCACGAACAACGAGCTGGACGCGCAGGAGTCGGCGCTCTCGGCCCGTCAAGTGCGGAAACAGGTGAAGCTGGAGCAGTTGACTGCGGAGCAGGCCGAAGAGCAGGCGGCGCTGGATCGGGAGTGGGAAGACGCTCGGTTTTTGCCGGATTTGAGCCAAGATAACGGCGAAAAAGACGTGCACGTGCCTCGGTTGACGATCCATTTCAAGGGCAAGACGTTGTTGGTGGACACGGCGTTGAAGATTGTTGCAGGGCGTCGGTATGGCTTGGTGGGCAAAAACGGGGCCGGCAAAACGACCTTGTTGCGGTACATTTCGCACTATGAACTCGAAGGCTTTCCACGCCATCTTCGGATGCAATTGGTGGAGCAAGAGTCGGCGTCCAAGTTGAGCAAAGACGAACGCAGCGTCTTGGACGTGGTGCTTGCTGCCGACTATGAACGCACGTTGTTGTTGGAGGAAGAGAAGGAGCTGTCGATGAGAGAGACGGAAGAAAATGGGGATCACAGTGCACGGCTGAAAGAGATTTACGACCGGCTTGGCAATATTGACTCGGACACGGCGGAATCGAGGGCTCGGTCGATTCTGAGCGGACTGCAGTTTCCTGACCACGTGGTGGATGGATCTGCAAAGGCGCTTTCCGGTGGGTGGCGGATGCGAACGGCACTTGCTGGTGCTCTGTTCATGGCGCCTGATCTGCTGCTGCTGGATGAGCCGACAAACCATTTGGATCTTGAAGCGGTGATTTGGCTGGAACATTACCTAGAAAAGTATGACAAGCAGATCATCGTCGTGTCGCACGACCGAAACTTTTTGAACGCCGTGACTACCGACATTATCCACTTGACGCGGCAAAAGCTCGTGTACTACAAGGGTGATTACAATGCGTTTGAAAACACGATGAAGGAGAACTTGCGCCAGCAGCGAAAAGCCTATGATGCCCAGCAGATGAAGATCCAGCACATGCAAGAGTTTATTGAACGCTTCCGGGCTAATGCGAAAAAGGCTCCGCTAGTGCAGTCGCGTGTTAAGGCACTGGACAAGATCTTGCGCAATGAGTTGATTGACGAGCCCGAAGATGAGCACGCTTTCCGGATGAATTTCCCGCCGCCAGAGCCGCTTGGTCGACCTATCATTGCAGTCGAAGACGTTGGCTTCCGGTATACGCCAACATCGCCTTTTCTGTTCAAAGACGTGCACATGGGCATCGACATGTCGAGTCGCATTGGTATCCTCGGTGTGAACGGTTCCGGCAAGTCTACGCTCATTAACGTCATGATCGGCAAGCTTCGTCCGACTGACGGATCGGTCACTTTGAACCAGCGCCTGCGTGTGGCCACATTTACTCAGCATCACGTCGACTCGCTGGATCTGTCCAAGTCTGCGGTGCAGAACATGAAAGAGATGTTCCCCGGTCATGAGCCGGACGAGTTCCGTTCGCATCTTGGTCGTTTTAATCTCTCAGGAGAGCTGGCAATCAAACCCACGCGTACGCTGTCCGGCGGTCAAAAGTCTCGTGTCGGTTTTGCACTCATGACGTGGCGTTTGCCGCACGTCGTGGTACTCGATGAGCCCACGAATCACTTGGATATGGAGACAATTGACGCTCTCATCGATGCTCTGCGCGATTACAAGGGCGGTGTGGTGATTGTTTCTCACGACCAGCACTTTGTCACGAGCGTGTGCGAAGAGCTGTGGGTGGTGGACGACCAGAAAGTGGCTCGCTTCCGCGGTACCATGAGCGAGTACAAGAATCACGTGCTGGTGAAGAAGTGAGGTGTACGGTAGATGTCTCATGTCATGCTGTTCAGGTCGAGTGCTGGCAGCGTGGCAGTTCTTGCGGCAAAAGACGTGGCCGTTTGGTGGATTTGCGGGTGATGGCATTACTTTGTCGTGTAATTAGCTCTTCAGCTAGTTATACTCTTCTGCGCTCGGTGATCGAAGGTCGTGTGGGAGTTGCATTGCCTCCACCTGTAATCGTAAGCCGAAGGCTTAGGGGCGATGACTGGTACTGTGGCAAGTCAAGTTTACATGATGGTAAGTCATTCCAATACGAAGCTGTGGGCACTGTTGTTATACGAAATGTTGGAAGCAATCATTGTAACTACTGTACGCACTTCGCGAGAAGCTAGTGTCATACAAAATCGTACATTGATTTTGCAAGACCTTTTGCAGTCGTGTCACCACTTGATCATAGCGGTTTACATCTGTTCAACTTGGAACGAAGCGTCGACTTCAATTGCGCGTGTGTCTGCATAGCGTTGCTTCGGTTTCGAGTGACTGCTGCGTTTTGACCAAGAAATTGGTTCAAGGCTGCACGGTAATGGTCGTATATCAACGCCACCTGTACGTCATACGGTCCTCGTCTCTCCGACCTCAAGTTTGACCTTAGACATGTTCAGCCTACCATCGATCGCCCACTAAGTTTAGTCGTAGTGGGGTAAGGTGCTTGCACGAACTCGATGGCAATGATGCGACGAATGTTGAATGGACTGTCGGGGCAGTTTGAAGTCCAAGTCGACATCGACATCGTCACTAGTAAACATGACGTGACTTGCGACAAATATCCTACGACAGGAACCTTGTGGTGGTCGAGAGGATACGGTGCAACGTGATGACGACGAGCTTGGTACGAACGCCGATCAGTGAGCGGTCCATCAGCAATGCCAAGTACGAGAGCCGTAGCATAGAGTCATTGCGGTATTACCGAGTCAAGACTGCGATGACTGATGATGGTAAGAAAGTCGGCATCGATAATGTGACCATGGACACTACTTGTCGAGCGAGGTAAGCACTGCTTCACCTGTTTTCAGCATAATGAGAGAAACGCATGTGATTATGCGACTGCACCACAGAGGGACGAATGCTGCCACGATAACGCCACTCGAAGGTTTGACTTACACGCATAATTTGACGATTATTGATACCCTTTTCCCCAGCAAATGACCACGAGTGGCCGGGGATGTGTACACCATCGTCATATCTCGACCTTTTTCTGTCGTGCCACGCTCGTGCTCCAAATCTTTATCTATCAATTTCGCGCGCATAAATGGTACACTGACATCTTTTTAGCTCCAAATGGGTATCTTCACCTATTGAGTTTAGTACCAGATCAGAAGGAAGCGCATGTCATTTATACCGGAAGACACACATTTCTGCATCAGATATGATCATCCTAGCGAATTTCGTTTTCCATCCTTCCATGTCCGTTATGACAAACTAGATACAACAGATGGCCGGGCACTTGGAACGTCGTCAGATGCGTTGATCAACCGGAACAGCTGGTGAACGATGTTTCGACATGACCTAGAACGTCATCTTGGTACCCGAGTGACAGTTGGGGAAGTCGCGGACACGGACTCGCTCGGTACCCGAGTAGCTCAATTTCCAGATCTACCACTTCGCACGAAAAATGCTCGAGAGCTTCATGGTCATTCCCACTCAATGATGCGATGATGCAGTCAGCCCCGCCATTACTCGACATCCGAGCACTTGGTCACGTTTTCCTGGTGTACTAAATTATCACGATAAGAGCTGAAGCTTACGCACCGCCTACGATACACGAGCGTCTGGATGTCTACTTGACTGTAGCATAGCACGAAATAAGTGAACAGCCATAGCGTCGTAGGATGGAGGAGAGCCAGTGGACGGCGACAGGAGGATGCAAGTTTCTTTGCATACTTGTGATAGCGACAGAAGTCCGCAAGAAACCATTACCCACAGCCAGTTCAAAGCGAGCACGTACTATGTGTACTACACGTCAAGCATCGAAGCAGAACTGAACGACTTCTTCAATTTGGCACAGATCAGGGATGATATGCTAGCGCCTTTGTAACATGCCGGCCATTATCGAGGCAAAGAAGCACAAACAGCATCCATCAGAGAGAACTGCAGAACTGGTAGTTGAGAAGAAACGGGCCACATTTTACGACAAGCTTTCACACGTCACGACAAATTGACTAACGACAAATTGACTAACGATATTACAGCGACTAACGATATTACAGCTCACGCTCACTATCAAGAGCTTTTTTCGCTATCGTTACAAAGTGGAGCTCGTAGTGAATAATCCCGTGTCTCTAAACCTCTTCGCTCGAGATCACCAACCCGTGTAATATCTAGATAAAAAACAACAACGCTGCACTTGCTTTTCACGCACTCACACACACTCACAAACATAACCCTCCGTCAAAAAGTCTCTCATAAATCCATCCCATTTCACGATAATCCCCAAAACAATATCCAGTGAAACAAAAAATCCAACCGAAAGACGACGCATCATGGCGAGTCTCCGCCGCTTCTTGCACCCCGACGCGCCTCCTCCCACGCCCTGGACGACGGAAAATCCACCTACGCAGCACCAGAGCGAGTCCTACTACGCGTCTCCAGCCACACACGCGCACAGAGAGCGCGCTGGGACGGCTCCGACGCCGCAGCAGAGCCAAGAGACGGATGGCGCGTTTTCCGCCTCGAACTCGCGCGTTTCAAGCTTTTCTCGGCGATTTTTTGAGCGCGCAAGCGGTCGCTCGTCGTCTTCGTCGTCGTCTTCTTCTGGTGGTGACGACGTGGAAGGTGCGGGGGTGATTTGGGTGGAGATGGTCGTGGTGGATTTTATCCAAGATAATATCGTTTGGGTTTGTATGACTAATAAGAAATTATCTGCTTGGTGGTTGTCTCGTATGTTTTTGTGTTGTTGTGTTGTTGGATTTTCGGATTGTTGTTGTGATGGTGCTAGGTGGTCTGATGACGTCCACAAGCTACTTTCGACCACGCACGATGGATGGCTACACTCGGTACCTCGAGTACGTAAGGACGACGAGCAGGAGTGCAGTGACTTTATTGATCGTGACAGTGACGAGGCTAATGACGACTGGTGATGATGGTACTGCTGCTACTTTTAGAGCTGCTTTTATGGAAGGAATGCTGGAAAAACAGAGCTCGGAAGACCTCAAGCTCTGGAAAAAGCGGTGGTTTGTCATGCGAGAGAGCAAACTCTTTTATTACAAGGCAGAGAGTGATGTGACGGAGCAAAAACCGACGGACGAAGCGTGTTGCGGGGTCATTTCGATGGAAAATATCGACTCGGTGACGACAGCGGTACGATGAGTTCTTTTGGCATTTTGCTTCTTCTTTTCTCGGCTTGTGCAGAGATGTGGAGAGAACAAACGCTGGTTCTTGACGCTACTTTCATGGCATCCGACTGATGTCTTCGTTGCCGCCTCTTTGCTGACTTTCGCCTGTGTTTACCTTATTTGCCGCTTCTGTTGCCTTCATTTTTGTAGAAGGATTTTGGTGCTGCTGCGTTTCAGATCCGGATGGAAAGTAGGCGTTATGTGCTACGTGCTGAGTCAAAAGATATGGTATGGAGGCTGTTGTGGTGTCGTTGTGGGTTGGATGTGTATCTCACCGTTTGTCGCTGCGGTAGATGCACGAGTGGCTGTTTAACTTTCAAAAATCAATCGCAAGTATAGTGTCGGCTCTGTCGCGAACGCAGGTACGCATTGACGTACGGGGGTGGAAAAGGAATGAATGAATCATGTAATGTCGCTGCTGGTCAAATGCTTTCAGGCAGAACATCGACCGATTGGACTATGCAACAGTTTATCGAGAAGAGTATGTACATGAGATTGGACTTGTTTCGCTCCAGATAGAAAGCAACGCACAGCTCACTCATTTTGACTGGTATGTTTGTGCTTTCGTACGGGGATCTTACAGCAGAGCATGCCCCGCGTCAGTCGCAGCGTCTCGTTCGACTATCAGGACCAGTTTCCCATTGCAGCCTCTGGCGATGACCTACATCGCGGCCGCGCAAGCTGTGGACTTTTTGCGTCAACGAGCTTTTCTGACGAATCAACAGGTGGTGACGGCTCTTCGTCTTCGCGAGCTAGCCCTCGGCTCGCCACTAGCCCGTTAGGGTTTGGTGGGTTCGGACCACGAAGCCCACTGATGTTTGCCTTTGATCCGATGGATGACTTGCCGGAGCACCACACTTCTCCATTACGGCGAAGCTCAATCGTCGAAGGGAAAGATGATAGCTTCGGCTTTGGTGATGGACGCCTGCACCCCAGAGATCAGTGGGAGGATGAAGGCGAGGAAGTCAAAGCTACGGAATGTACTACTGATACACCGTCGATGGGACGACCGTCACCACCTCCAATTGTTACAGGCAAATACATTCCCCGATACCTTCGAAATCGGAGTGCTGCAGAGCCAACTTCTCCACCATCTATCCCAGTTGATTTGTGTTCACCACCAGATCCAGCACCTACTCCTACCGCCAGCCGTTGGGTGCCTCGCCACCAACGTGAAGGGTACGCCGAGATGCAGCCTATCGAGTCGTTCTCGATCAACTCTCGAGACTCCTTTCATGAGACTTTCCACGAGGATAGTTCGAGCTATTCTACCGGCGATGATGTTCATGGCGTGACATCACTGTTAGGGGGTGCGATCATCGATGGAAGATATCTGCTGTTGCATCCCAGACCTTAATGCGCAATTGACGGGCGACCAATCTCGACATCAAAGGCAATCATTTTATGCTTTGTTTGATGGCCATAGTGGTGTAAGGGTACGTACCACAGGTACTGCTTTGCGGTATCAATCTAATCACGTTCTGAACTTGTGCAGGCTGCATCTTTCTCAAATCAACGCCTGGTGCCTTATTTAACTGCACATGAAGCTTTCATGGTTGACACACACCTAGCGTTTAGGGAGTGCTTTGCGCGGATCGACAAAGAGTTCTTGCAAAAGGCCGAGGACGAGGTAGGCGATGCAATTCCGTCAACTTTGGACTTGATAGCGCTAATTCTCTGATTGTGATAGAGTCTGGATGATGGCACTACAGCAGCGGTGGTGTTGATTCGAGGCAACCGGTTGATCACAGCGAATATTGGAGACAGCCGAGCAGTTGTGAGCATTAGAGGCCAGGCGTTGGATATTATTGAAGAGCAGACACCTGGACGTGCAGATGAGCGAAAGAGGATTGAGGAGCAAGGAGGCTGGGTGAATGAGGAGCGCGAGCTGCAGCTGTCCAAGCTGCATTGCATGGATTTGAGTGACCCCGAAATTCAGCAGAGGGCCGAGCGAGTCGTAAAATGGATGACAATCTACCGAGTGAACGGCGAGTTGGCCGTTTCTCGCGCTATTGGCGATATCGATTATAAGGGTGAGGCATTGTCGCGATATGAGTACTGGGCGTTTCCCGAGGGCCACGACCGTATGTTTCGCGGTGATTTGGTCATCTCGGTGCCCGAATGTCAGGTGCGATGCCGGTAGATGGGAAGAGGCTGTTAGATTCTGGCAAAGCACTGACGATCCATCATCATTGACAGGAGATCGAGATTACGCCCGAATTTGACTTCCTCATTCTCGCATGTGACGGGCTTTGGGACACAATCAAGAGCAAGGAAGCTGTGAAATACGTCGCCGATAGGCTAAGCCAAGGTTACTCTGCAAAGGTTCGTTGTGTGTCGAGATGGATGGAATCGCCGAGCTGGAGACGAGATGCTTACTGAGGTGGTTCGTTCTTGATGTTCTGTAGCAAGCAAGCCAGTCGCTGGCAAACTTGGCCATTCGGTCCGGTTCATCCGACAACGTTTCCGTGGTTATAGTGCTGCTCAACACGGAGCAACTGCCTCGCGATATAAATGCATTCTCTAGGGAGTGAAAGCTGAGAGAGATTTGCTGTACGCCAGCACGGTGCTTGGATTCTGCGCTCACGTGCTATGATCTTGAAGTGAAGAACGAGGAAGCATAATCTGAAAGGCAGTCCTTCTCGGCAATAAAAGTCTAGAGTGTGCACATTTACATCCTCTTGTTACATTTACTTGACTTGACCCCTCTCGATGACACTTTGATCGTTGTTACTTTTCCACCGACGCAATGATACCTACGCAACAAAGACGAACAAGTCAGAAACACGACAGACCCACAACAGCATCTCCGTATCAGCTCATTGTCATACCTTGCACAATTTGGCCAAAGACCGGGGCCGCAACAGAATGAGGATAGTCCTCCAAGAACGACACACCCTCTTCACACGCCTCTGTGAGCTTGTTGTCTAGCGGCAGACGTCCGAAAAAAAGGCACATTGAACATCTTGGCCATTGCCTCGCCACCTCCGTTTGATGCAGAAAACACGTCCATCTGCACCGAATACTGCAGCAGTTCTGGTGCCTTCTCTTGCAGTAGCTTCACAGGTGAGACAAACACCACCAACATATAGAGCAGCGGCAGTCAGTCACTCACGTCAGCAAAGGCAAACAAACGCACGGCACCAACCCCTCTCCAGCTCACCTTTTAACAGCTTCCGTCTCATCATTACCATCCTTTCCAACAAACTGGACGTCGTCAAGCCGCCGCTGGATGCCACTCATGTTCTCCACCACACCAAGCACCTTGATCTTGGTCTTGTGGCAAAAGTTCAGCTCCTTGCGCACATCACTGAGTGCAACCTCCTGCGGCGTCGTGACCACCACCGCGCCGTCTAAATCCGCTTCCTTCATGTACTGCACGATACTAATGTGCTCGTCCGACGTGCCTGGTGGCGTGTCAATAATGAGGTAATCGAGCTCTCCCCACTGCACATCCACTAGAAACTGCTTGATGATCCCGCTCTTCTTCGGGCCTCGCCAGATAATCGCGTCGTCGGCATTGGGCAGCATGAACCCAATGGACATGACGCCCAGATTGTCCTCCACATAGACAGGAGACCACCCGGCAGCGCTCTGATGCACTTCGTGGCCCACCAGTCCGAGCATCCGAGGCACGCTGGGTCCTGTAATGTCCACGTCCAAGAGTCCCACTTGAAACCCTTTACTTGCCAAGGCAAACGCCAATTGACAAGCCACGGTGCTCTTGCCCACGCCGCCCTTACCGGATAAGACCAGGATCTTGTGCTTGACATTGGCCAATCGCTGCTTCACGTCGGAGATCGCGGGGTCCGGGACACGAGCAGCTCCAGAGGCACAAGCGGTTTGGTTTGGGCAACCTGCACAGCCGTCAGCTTTGCCGGCTTGGGCGGCTTGAGGCCCGACGCAGGAGGCATTCGCGTTCTCCGGGACGGTGGGAGCCATTGGTTTTGGTTTCTTGAAGAGCTCTTTGAGGTCGGGATTGGACGAGAGAGATGATACCGGTTTTAGTTTATTTGATGGGGTACGACTGGGTGGGTACGTGCGTGGGTGGGTGGGTGGCTGAGCGCGGTTTTGCTGATTTTTTTGTGGGTTTTTGGAGGGGCGCGCATCTAGAGTCGACTCAAAGGTCCTTGTCGTCGTCAAGCGATGTTTTGTTGAAGTGTTACAGTATACTAAAGTGATACCATCCTTGCAACGCACGCTGTACGACGTCAGCTGTCTTTGCCTGTCAAAATGTCTCATATCGCTGTTGGATCCATTCCTGTGACGATGCAAGGAAGAAGTATATTATGCACTTTAAGCTCTACCGCTGTCCTTTTTCGTTAAGATCGAGATCACGTGTCCGTTTTTATCTTGCCATCTTTCTTCTGCTCACGATATTCGAGTCAAAGAGAGGCGACGACGCTATTTTCGACTTGTTTGAGCTGAAAGCCGACAACGATTCAAATCTGGAAGCAATCGCGGATCACATATCCCACATACAGGACACGACTACGTATACAACTGTTGCTCTGTCCGGGGCACACACGTGTCATCACTACCGCCAACTCACGGCATGATCTTATCACCACTTTGTCTCAATATGCATTCCAATCACAGCACAAATACAAATCGAGTCACAATCGTAATACCTCGGCTTTTCGAACCATGACCGCATTCGAAACTCCACAACGTCATCATCCTGTCGCTGACTCGTCTGGTAAATCCTTAACTACGACATCCCAATGCGATAAAATTCGCTTCGAAAAAACAAGCGCATTCTCATCTAGAAACGACTTTCTCCTCACCCACCCACCCACTATCTCCAATCGACCTGTGATTGGTGCTCCCCTCCACCAATCACCCCTCGCTCACCGTCCCTCCCTCCTCCCGCACTGCACCACACCAAAAACCACACACACCAGCTCGAGTAGTCGCTCCAATAGAAGCCCCCTCTTTTTCGATCTCAATCCCTCCGTCGTCCCAAAAAGCAGCTTTTTGTTCTCCGCGTGAGCCACTCGTCCCCATGATGAGTCCGACGTGGCAGCCGCAGCCCGCGCTGCTCAGCGAAGTCGTCGCGCTCTTGCAGGCCCATGGCGTCCCCCAACAACCAGGTCCAGCTGGACTCGTACCAGCGACTGCAGCAGCTGGAGCAGAACCTCGAGTTTAATCTCTACCTCGTGCACTTGCTCTGTGCAGCTGAAGTAGACGTGACGGTGCGGGAGCTGGCCGGGTTGTTACTTAAGCGCAACATTAAAGCCCGCGACACCACCGCTGCACTAAGTGGCCCCGAGTCAGAAATGCTGGCTGTGATTCGGGCCCAGACGCTCCGAGTTTTGGCCAATCCGCTGCCGCCGATCCGCAAAACCGCGGGTATTCTTGTGACGACATTTGTGTCCCACTGTACGTTTTTGGACGAATGGCCGGAGCTCATGCCTGCCCTGTCGTTGTTCTTGGAGCAACAATCGGACGACAATGCCATCGCCGGGGCATTGAGTGCCTTAGTGAAAATTTGTGAAGACTCGGCCGCGAAACTCGAACATTCACCAAGTCGACCACTGAATACGCTCGTGCCGCAATTATTGCACTATTTCCACCACCCTAATGCAACATTTCGTCGCGACGCGCTCGCGTGTTTGAACCATGTGCTGATTTTCATGCCCGTGGGACTCGTGGTTCATATGGAGACATTTCTTGCGGGCATTTCGCTCTTGACACAGGACGTGTCGAGTGACGTGCGGAAACTCGTGTGCAAGAGCATTGTGATCTTGCTGGAAGTGGGCGTGCAGTACCTCGTGCCGCATTTGGACAGCATCATCCAGTTTATTCTACGGGCTAATCAGGACACGGATGAGACAGTGGCCATTGAAGCGTGTGAATTCTGGGCGTCGTTTTGTGACTTGCGGGAGTTTGAGGATCTCAAATTGAGGCTGCAGCCGTACTTGACGCAGGTTGTCCCGCTCCTGTTTCGCTGTATGGTGTACAGTGAAGAAGACTTGGCAACCTTTGAGGCGGAAGAGCAGAGTCAGGATGAAAACGTGCCGGATCGACCGGAAGATATTAAGCCGGTGTTTCACCGCAAAGCTGGGAGTAGCTACGTGAGTGGTGGCAGTTTGAATGAGGATGACAAGCAGGTGGGAGACGAGGACAGTGATGACGACGACGATGATGATGATGATGATGGTGATGATACGATACTGAATTGGGACCTTCGTCGCTGCTCGGCTGCTGGTCTGGATAGCCTTGCTAATGGCTATGGAAATGACATTCTCTCCACGCTTCTGCCGTTGTTGCAAGAACGTCTCGCACAAGAACAGCCATGGCCGCTCGTGGAGAGCGGGATTCTTGCTCTTGGTGCTATTGCCGACGGGTGTTACAATGGCATTACACCTCATCTACCCCAATTGTACCCGTTTTTGCTGCAGAAGCTGGAGGACCCCGCACCATTTATTCGTAGCATCACGTGCTGGACGTTGAGCCGTTACGCGACGTGGGTCGTGGAACAGAGCAACCATGAGGCGCTGTTGAAACCGCTGGTCGAGGGCATGCTGAAGCGCATCTTGGATCCGCACAAGAAGGTGCAAGAAGCAGCATGCTCTGCGTTCTGCACGCTTGAGGAAGAAGCGCGCGAGGAGCTGGTGCCGTACCTGACGCCAATCTTGCAGAACCTCATGTTTGCATTCGGCAAGTACCAGGCAAGGAACCTGCTTATTTTGTACGATGCCATCGGGACGCTGGCAGACTCGATTGGCGAGCACTTGAATCACCCGGAGCTGATCACGATTCTGATGCCCCCGCTTATCGCCAAGTGGAATGCCTTGGATGACCGCAGCCGTGAGACCCTTCCGCTGTTTGAGTGCCTCGCGCCTGTGGCACAGGCTCTCGGTAACGGCTTCCAAGAGTTTGCAATGAACGTGTACGTGCGTTGCCAGCGCATTGTCGAGAACGAGCTGCTGGCTGACGCCATGTCGGAGCAGAGCCCCGACGAGTTCGACGAGGGCGACTCGGAGCTCATCGTGTGTGCTCTGGACTTGATTTCCGGCATGATTGAGGGTCTGCAGCACAGTAGTGAGGCATTGTTGAACGGCTCAAACATTCTGAATGTGCTCATGAGTTGTGTTCGCCACGAAGTGCTGGATGTACGTCAGAGCGCCATGGGCATCGTGGGTGACCTGGCGAAGTATGCGTCGAACATTCTGCGGCCCGGTCTAGGTGGCCTGCTACCAGTGTTGATCGAGAACCTGAATCCAGACTTGCAAACTGTGTGCAACAATGCGAGCTGGTCGGTGGGTGAGATTGCCATTCGCATTGGCGCTGAGATGGAGCCGTACGTGGAGAGTTGTTTGAGTCGCTTGATCGACATGATTAATCGCCCCAAGTTGCCACGCAACTTGGTGGAGAATTGTGCCATCACGATCGGCCGACTCGGATACGTGTGTCCGAACGTGGTGGCGCCGCACTTGCAGGAATTCGCGATGCGTTGGTGCCGTGCCCTTGCGCACGTCCGGGCTCCGGAAGAGAAGGAGCACTGTTTCTTGGGGCTGTGCTACATGGTGAAGGCGAATCCGAACGGCATTGTCGCCGACTTTATGTTCATGTGCGGTGCCATTGCTTCGCTTGAGGGTCAGCAGATCCAGCATGCAGAGCTGAAGGACATGTTGTTCCAAATTGTGCATGGCTTTAAGACGAGCCTGGGTGAAAACTGGGCTGCGTACTTTGCGAGCTTTCCGGAGCCTCTGCGACAGTTTCTCTCCATGCGCTTCAACCTGTAGCGAGCGTGAAGTCCTGTATCCGCACAATGTGAAAGAGATACAAGGGCGAAGTGAAGATGAAGCAGAAGTCGCGAAGATGTCAGGATGACGATCAAATGGCAGAAATGCAGGACGTGAACGTCTATCTGTTTGGTGGTGGAGAGGTGCGACAGTAGGAGAAGTAGTAGTAGCAGGTAGTAGTTAGAAAATAGCAGAGGTGAGTAGATGTCCACTTTAGGCAATGCGAGCAACAAAGGACAGTAGAGAATAGTAGATCGTAACCATCAAAATGAGGTAGCAAGCGAGATGTTAAGCTTGCAAGATGGATGCACATCCATCACCATCGACTTGAAGTATATCTGAAGAAATCATCTTGTCATTGAACTCGATACCGTCTGTCGTAACCAACACTCACGTGCTTGATGTTGAAGCATCGGTCATTTCCACATCTTGCTCATCTGTTCCCGTCAACCTCTTGTCAAAACTTGGTGGTGTCTTGAAACGTGGAGTCCTTCTTCGGCCATGCAATGGTGTGAACCCAAGAGACTCGTCAAACTTGAAGACATCCGCTAGAAAGTCATTCCATATCCGCGGCGTGGAAAAGTGTCGCGGATCTTCATGTGTCGTCGTCACCATTGCAGTCATTTCGACATCGGCAGTCGTCATGTCAACGTCACTCGAGCGGTCTGCAATCGAAAGCTTCTTGTCGTGCTGGCTACGTATCATCGACTTCTTGTGGCCAGGACTGAAGAAATTGGGTGACCCCAATGGCAGCAGCGTCGGTGAAAACAATGGAGATGGCAACGTCGAGAACGGCAAAGCTGGCAGCAACACCTTCTCGTCGCTTTCTGCGCCGTTCGCCAACATGTCAATGAAGGTTGGACTGAGCATACCGATCGAGCTTGCAGAGCCTCTTCGGGTTCGTGACCCCGTTCCTGATCGGAAGATCTCTAAGGTTGCATCTAGTGCCATGGAAAACAACACACAGCACAAAGTTTATCAGATACAACAACTCGCTCAACAGCTCACACCTCTCCAACTTCGTCACGTAAGCTCACCTTTGCCTGAACTTCTAGGCGGGACTTCAATAGGCGGTGGAGGAACCGTGCGTTGACTCAGCGAGCTACGTCCCTGTTGGTGCACGACCACACGGTCGCTTACAGCCGAGTTTTCATTGCCAGGTGTCTCACTCGAGTCAACTTCATGTGCCATCTCATCGAAGTGGTGACGCACCTCCTTGACCGTCTTACCCGGTACAGTCGCTGCAATTTCCGTCCACGGGTACGCTTCGCTTCCAGCCCAACCTGCAAGTGCTACCTCGAACGTCTTGTCTTCTTTAAACGTCCACGCTGTCGACGTCTTCAGTCCATTTCGGCGTAAACCAGCGATCCGTGGCTGATTCGACTGCTCTAACAGCTGCAGCGGCTGGCTGCGAGCTTGGCCTAACGTCTGTCCCGTTAGCGCTTGCGCACACTCTAGAGCTGCTGCACTCAGAGCACTTCCCCCCGAAACTTCCGGCTGCAACATCCCTCGCTTTCTCGAGTCGCCTCTCACTTTATGCAAGTCCACACTCCGTCGTGCTTCACCCGTCAGTCGACTGGAATCCTGTGGCCTGCCAGTAGTGGCTAAAGAATGGCGCGTCAAAGACGGCGAAGGCGGTAGCTGTCGAACCAGTTGCTGGAGATACTGTCGACCGTGAAGCCGCACTTCAGCCAGCGTGCGGGAGCCGACAAAGTCGGTAATGTGCATCCACTCGTCCCCATCTTGTCTCGAGCCGTAGAGCTCCAGCGCTTGCATAAAGCGTCCGTGCTCTTCTTGCAGCCACGTGTCCGACTTGTCGTACAAGGCTCCAGCACAGGCACTTCCCTCGGTCGCCCATTGGCGCTGGACCCCAACAGCTGAAGCTCGAGGCGGTTTCTGTCCTGGCATCATGACTTCAGTCTCTTGATCTCGAGTGTGCGAGACACTTGATCCGATTCAAAAAGACTCTCTCTTGACAAGGCTCTTGGTCAGGAGACTGGAAGCGACGTGGCTGGCTGGAAAATAGAGAGAGAGAGAGAGAGGAGCGGCTGGAGCTGCTTGGAACCGGAAAAGAGCGAGGAAAGCCGCACGGGAGCAAGTGGGTAGTTCGTTCGTTGCAAGTTGCGACTGTCGGCTGCAATAGAGAGAGAGAGAGAGAGAAGAGAGAGAGAGAGAGAGAGAGAGAGAGAGAGGAAGATACTTTTTCTCCAAGAGATATCCCGGTACTTCCTGTCTGACCTTTGGTAGTGAGCTAAACGACGTCTCGCGACTGTTCGGGGAGGCGTTTTTTTCTCACACGTCACAGCGTTACAGGAAACCGGCTGTAGCCATGTGGTGACAGCTGCAAAAGGACGGTGGCAAACGTCTGTAGCCATCGGCAGATAGGTGGATAGGAGAATCAAGATCGAGCGGTTTGTAGCCATCTTGGATTACAGCAGTCTTTTCGTGAGCAGCTCATGTTGTTAACGCGGCTTTTTTTTGTACGAACGAACGTTCGAGGAACGCGAGCGTATGTCTCGATCGATCGTTGGGGTCAGAGACTAACTGCACAAAAAAGAGACGTTTGTGAGACTTTAGTGGCGACATCACGCAAGTCCGGTCATATCTAGTAGTGCCGTTGTTGCCTGCGTCGTGAGATCGTGAGACCTGGGGCTCTGTAGTTTGTCTTAATGCGCGTATCGAGATGCATGTAGTGTTATAATTGGTCCGGCAGTCGACACAGTGACGGTGATTTGTGGATATTTTGAGTGGTTTCAGTGAGGTGTCGAGTCTTGACCTGCTGGCATTGTAGCGTGACGACGTCAAAAAGAGCGAATGCTGCGACGATATATCTACAACGAAAGGCATCTATTGCGCGCTAACGTTCCACCCTGTCTGTGGTGTAGGTTTGTAATTCCAAGGACTGACGGTGCTCCTCTCTTGAATCAGTCGACGTATCTGTAGGTAGTCATCATATGAAGCATATGCTTACGGACTTGACCTGGCAAAGTAGTGATAGCTCAGCTCGCAATCAAGCAGCGACACCATTGTCTTCAGCAATAATCCATAGCACGCGATAGAGCTCGAATGAGCTAGCCACACCTCCTTCACACTGCTGTATCCGCAACTTGATCAGTTTGAGTTCCGATCAGAGAAAGCTCACAAGATAGAGAAGCAAGTCAACGTTGTCTTGACCTGCATCATGCATGCAGAGAACTCGTTCTGAAGTAGACACGCGCATCTTCGATCATTCAGCTTTGTGACCCACACACGTCGCAGACAAAACAGACGTGTCAGCTGATCGCTGCATTTGATTATCTTCTCCATCATACCGAAGCACTACCTTGTTCGCAACACTCATACTGGTAGCATGACACCAGCATCAAGACCTCGCATATTGGAAGCTCGTTATCGATATTACAGCCGTTCAGATTGCTTCATCATACCGAACGCAGAACGCAGAGTAAGACCTATCTACCATTCTAAATATCATATCGGTATGTTGCGACACCCATCAACGTCCGCCCTCACCCTCGTCCAGCAACCACACACGTAGACCACACACTTGTACCACATGAAAAAATGTACGCACGCCGACGGTTCGCGTCGATCCTCTGCAGTCGCGTCCACTCTTCGCCCCGTCTGTCGTCGCGACTCCCTCCGGCTCCCGCAGCTTCCAGTCTATCCACCACATGCTCTGCATCAGACGCTCTCGACGAGCGCATTATCTCGTTGCTAGTCGTAAATCGACCCGGTACGTCGCTGCAAATTATCTGTACGATCACCACATCACCACATCACCGGTCTTGTCAACGGTTTCAATCAAACACACGCCGTTTCCTTTTTTGACTTGCGTTCAGTATACTGACACGGTTTAAAACACCCCCTCTTTTGAAAAAAACGCTCTTGTAGGCACCTTGGCCCACATCGCCAAGGTCTTTGCGTACGCGGAGAAGAACATCACGAGTCTCTGCGTCCGCTCGACGGTCGTGCCCGAGCTCTCGCGCGTCACGATCGCGTGTTTCCTGCACGACAACGAGCTGCCTGCGCTCAAGGCGCGACTGGGCGCTCTCGTGACCGTCACGTTTTTCCACGTGACCTCCGTCCCCTTTTGTGTTTCCAACCACCAGCTGTTGTTACGGTCTCAGCTACTGCTACAGATTCGACGGACATCACGGCACCAGTGCCAGCTGCAGAAAGTGCTGCACGCGTTCCACGCTGAACTGATTGTTCCAGAGGACGAACCGGATGCAGAAAAGGACGAATCGCTCCTGGCCATGGATTACGATAATGATGATGATGATGATGACGAGGAGGAGCAAGATGGTAATCATGATGGAGATCATGAGGAGATCAATGATGGCAGGGCGGAAGCTTTGACGACGCAGTTTTTGGCTCTTGTGGATGAGCCGGAACGACTGACGCTGTTCATCGAGACGCTACTGGACAACGGGTTCGAGATCCTCGAGACGCAGACGTGTGGTCCGCTGTTTCTCGATACGTCGCACTCGACGTTGGATCCAGAAAGCGTGACTTCGTTCCGACGTAAAGTCGCTCTGGAAGTGGAAAAGCTGCTGTCGGATGCAGCGACGAATGGAGACGCGACGTCGAGAGGCTTTGCAACGACAGGGCGAATGGTTCAAGCTGGGAGAGGTAATGGAAGCGAAGACACTGCGCTGATGCTTCGACGTTCGAACGGGGATTATAACGACATTGAAGTGGAGAGTGGCGCCGAAGCAGATCTATCAGTAGATGCCGGTGTCATGACTCCCGTGCTGCCTACTACGTCAACGTTCCAGCTACACACAAATGAACGGGGCTGCTTCACTGCGAACCGGTTGGAACTGCATGCTCGTATTGCACAGCAGCTGTACGCTTCTGTGCCGCAGGACGTGGCTGTTCCCAAATTCGTGCTGTTGTTGGGGATCCCCGGCGCGGGCAAGTCGACCATGCTGAGCCATCTGGACCTTGTAGGCCAGCTCACACTGCAAGATTATGCAAACTTTGACATTGACGATGTCATTGCGCTGTTGCCAGAGTTCTACCACGCGATGCTGAACGTGGGTCTGGGCAATGACCCAGCAAGTCGCAGTGTGACCAACGTGGATGCTGCTAAAGTGCACTCAAAGAGAGTTGCGAAACTGTTACCAAAGCCGCAGACACGATACCAGCTTTGCCGAGACGAGGCCCGCTTCATTATCAAGAAGAACCTCGACAGCGCTATCATGTCACGCAAGAACATTATTCTTCATGGTAGTGGCAAGAGTTTCACCAGTTATGCTCACACGATTGATCAAGTGAAAGCAGCAGGTTATGAGGTCCACGTGTTGTGTCTAGATATTCCAACAGCAGAAGCTTACAAGCGGGTGGATAGACGCAGTAGAGGCTATGGGCGTGACGTGCCTCGACTTGTGATTGACACAGCGTCGTCTTTGATCACGCGCAATTTCCGTCGACTAGCGGATCGTGTGCCAAACGCCCATCTCTTTGACAGTATGGAGATTCCACCTCGACTCGTATGGAGCAAGCAGCAGTCGGAGACTGTTACTGAACATCCAGACGATGATGTGCAGCGAAAGTATGGCATCAAGTAGAATCAGGAGACTGCGAGTACCTCATCGTGCAAGACAACGCGAGAGACAAAGGAGGCAAGTCTAGCTATCGATGGGACGTATACGACGACGGACGATGGCGAGTGACCATTGAAGGGTGTTTGACAAGCGAAATGAAGGGTGTATTGATGCGCATGCTCACGTGGCGTATGCGATGGACTCAACCGATCGGTTCACCAAGCTGTGCATCTACAACGCCGGAGCGAGTGAACTGAACGTGACGTCCTAGTCTTCCTCTTCCTAGCGAACAAACTTGATTGAGCGGATGCTGTTCGGCATGGTTCTGCTCGCTCGGGATTTTGGGCCCCTTTTGAGGATCTTGCTGAAGCCAGTGAAGCGCTGTTGGAGCCCAACAGCACCCTCGTTCGCCAGAGAATTGTCGCGCTCATTGTAGTATTCGTTGTCGTACACGATCACGTCAAAGTCGTTCGCATCGGTCTTGAAAAGCATCACCTCCGAAATCGAGTCTTGGTATCTGTCGTCGACGACAGGTACGTTGTCTGAATAGCACACCCCGAAGCCATCGCCCGAGTTAGGCGCTCCGAGGAAACAAGCCCGTCCCGCTTCTTCAACATACACTTCTTGAACCGATTGCTTCGATGTGGTGAGGTTGTAGCCCGTGTCGGCAACGTCCGCTGAAAAGAGAGTAACGTGCTCATCGAAAGGCGCGTCCATCACACGAACATTTACGACGAGGTCGCAGCCGTCACCAAACTTGATACTCTTGATCGCACCTGGTGCAACAATCGGGTTTGCTTCCGTGCACCTCTTTGCCCGTTTGCCGACGCAGAACTCGGGTCCAGCAAAGCCGGTTTGCTCGTAAAAGCACACAAAGCAGGTATCACTCGGTGGCGGCAAGTCATTGATCTTGCTCCTGAACTGTTTGCCCCACGTCTTGTCGATGGACATGGTGGCCGAAGCCGATGAGGTCGCCAGCGTCCAGACTGCATGGAAAAGGACGAATCGAAGCATCGTGAATGAAGTACTCGCTGCGTTGCTTGTTGATGTGGACGTTTGTGAAATCTGCTGTGGAGGCAGGAGCTCAATTGAGTTGTGAGCATGTTGATGTTAGCACAATGTGGCTTTCAGTCAACACCTTTACATCCTAAGACTGATCAGAATGTCGGGAGGAAGAGAGAAAAAAACACTTGGTTAGGTAGCTGTGATGCACGACGTGGTCACAGACTTGACGCAAACGACGCAAAGTCATGTGGCATGCGACACCTGACACGGCAATAGAGAGTTTACACACGATAAGAAGACGTAGTCGAGCAAAAATAAATAAACGGCAGAGATCTAAATACAGACCTGCTTGTCCCAGCACCCACTGGTCTGACCACACGTTTGCGAACTTTGCTTTGCCGCAAAAACATCCTTCGTGCGCTTACGTTTGTTTCGAGCTGTACTCTTTCCTCAATTTCTCATAATGCCGCATTTCGGCGGGCGACACAGACGGAACGACTTGCGAAAGCGCCGTCATAAAGTGTTCTTGACCCACAGACACACGCAGTTCTTCTGGTGACAAGCGGTTGAGGAGGAGGCGCATTGTCAACGGACTGGACGAATAGCAGTCCTTTACATTGATCTCTTCTGCCACATGTCACAACAGCACAAACAAAACACATGTCGTAACGGAAGAGATTAGCTCGAATTCTCACATGCGTCGCCATTCTTTCAACACGTGACACGCACCGAGTTGACGATCCAGAGACTTGACGCGATCCTTCAGTGCAGCCGCAAGCGCGCTAGAGCTGAGTGCGTAAAAATCTGCACCCGTAAAGTTGGTCGGACAGTGCTCAATTACTGCGTCCAAATCAACGTTCTCTGCCAGCGTGAACTTCCTCGTCTGTGCCTTTAGCACTTTTAGCTGTGCTGCTTTCTCGTTGCATATACCGAGGTAGAGTAGACGATCGAAGCGTCCTGGGCGCAGCAGACCTGTTTCCAGCAGATCTGGACGATTTGTCGCGCCTATGACAAACACTTGGTCATTACCGCCGCCACTGAGACCATCGATCTCCGTCAGCAACTGCGACACCACGCGGTCCATGACACCACCTGAGTCAGACCCACGCCCACGCATCGGAGCCAGTGAGTCCAGCTCATCGAAGAAAAGAATGCAAGGACGGCAGTTGCGAGCCTTCGCAAAAATCTGCCGCACGTTCTTCTCACTTTCACCAATGTACATGTTTAGTAGTTCGGGTCCCTTCACACTAAGAAAGTTGAGATTGCATTCCGTTGCAATGGCCTTTGCTAGCAATGTTTTTCCCGTTCCTGGAGGTCCATACAACAAGATACCAGAGCGTTGACGTACACCACTAGCAAAAAGTTCTGGATGCTCGATCGGTAGCCGCACGACATCTAAGATCTCGTCCTTCACGTCTTCCAGGCCACCCACGTCGGTCCATTTTACATTCGGAATCGATGCGTTACTGACGTTAGCAGATGACACATGCGCCTGCTGGTTCTGTACAGCTTCCTCAATGTCCTTGGCTGAGACAGAATAGCGATCGGAGGAGAGGTTGTCAGAGTCACCGAACACCAGGTCCTCCAACGACCGCTTGCTTCCGTTAGTCTCACCCCCAATCATTCGATCAATAGCATTGCTACCTGCATCTGCCAACATAGCCGAAAGCTCTCCGAACGTCCGACCTGCAGTCATCTGTGCGACTTCACTCAAATCCACGTCCTCATTGAGTTTTATAGAGACTGCCATGTGCTGCAAGAACTCCAGTCGCTGAGACTGATCCGGTGCCTCCAGATGTATCTCGTACAGGAAACACTGTCGGATGAATTTTGATACTTCTTTCGCGTCTTCTACGCACGCGACCAATGGAACGCTATGCTGGTCTTGACTAAGCGAACGAATGCACTCTGAGAGAACGGCGCCAACGCGCAGCTCGGCTTCTTCATTATCTCTTTCGACTGGGAAGAGGTGGCGGATGTACAGAACACAGGGAGACAGTGCTCGTGCCTTCGACACTTGCTCCCGCACGTTTTCTAGTAAATGAAGCTCCGACTGTCCCGTAAGCTCAGTGAATGATACCTCAACTGTGACCACGCCCAGCAGCTTTGCTACTTGGTGAACAAGAGTCTGCTTGCCAACACCTCGGGCACCACTCAAAAGCACTGAGACGGGTATATTGCACAACTGGGTCGGGTGTAGCAATTCGTACAACTTTCGCTGGGCAGCTGACGGCATCACTGAGTCAACTAAGGGCGCCGCAGCCCCATACCGGCTCTGCATTAGGAGCTGCTTCACAATTGCTTCGTCAGGCAATGCCGCCGAGATCGTTGGCCCTTGCATCAGTTCTGTATCATGGGAGATCGTCAATGCCAAGGCATCGTCCGCCTCACCACATAATTTCTCCACTCGAAAAAACACGAGCGCCGTGTCGAGCTCTAGAATCGGCGGCAGGACTTCAGTCATCGATTCCGCAGCAGCTGCACCGTTATCTATGGACACCATATAGGCCGCTGGCACATCCACGCACTTGTACGGTGTATACTGCTTTTGGTACCGTTCATTTGCCAGATGAGATCCCCGAGACGCCGTTGTCTCGCGAAGCTCAACAGCAACGACATCACCAACTTGCACGACTTGACCCGAGTGAAAGAACGTGCGAACAGCGTCCATGAGTCCGTCATTTTGCTGCTGGAGTAGCACGTGCGAGCGACACGAGCGACTCGAATGAGAAAGTGGTGCAATGATGGCCGTTCGAGCTGCAGCTGGTCGCTCGTGGTGTTTCCGCCGGTACAAAGGTGGCGACGGCTGCAGTGAAAGCCCCAGCTCTTGAATAGACGCAGAAGAGATCCACAGCTGCTAGACACACGACATGTGACCTTATATGAATGACTGAACATTGTATACATTATACAGTATACTACGTAGTGCATATTGTATACAGTATACACGCAAGGAAGAAGAAATCGGACGCACCGAGACGGTCGCTTGAGTGTGGAGTCCGAGGTTGAACGCCAAGAGCGGCGACAGCGTCACGTCGACATCTTGATGGGCATTGTGGCCTTCGTCCGTGGTTGATTCTTGACTTGATGTTTGTATACTCTGCGGCACAAGCCGCAAACGCGCCACGTGGCGACGCTCTTGGTACTGAAGCGTCACGAACGAGTCGTGGAAAACGCGCAGACGACGCAGCAGCGACACGTCGGACGTCACCACGAGCGTCAGCGCATCCGCATCCTCCTCATCTCCTTCTTCATAGAACGTGGCGTCACTGTCTCGTCCATTCCACACGCGCGCGCGCACCGCGTGCAGCTCGGGCGCGTCCGACGTCGCAAAGGACGAGAGCCACATTCGAAGTGATGCGCGAAATTGACAGAGTGTGTGTAAATGTGGAGTAGACCACGTCATTTTTGATGAGGGAAGTGGAGTGGACCACGTCATTTATGATGAGGAAAGTGGCGTGGACCATGTCATTTACGGTGAGGAAGGTGGACCACGTCATTTATGACGAGGAAAGTGGTGTGGCCCACTTGACGTCAGGTCATTCCAATTGCGGTTGAGAAACAAGGAGACTGGTACTGCTTCGGTTGCTTCGTACTAGTACAAGATATTCGAGGGGCGATGAGCAAACCATCGGAGAAGAAGCCGACGACGGCAGCGACGGGTAAAGCGGCTGCGGCGGTGCCAGCGACGGTCGAGAAGGCGCCGATGCTGGTGGTCGTGACGGAAGAAGACGACGAGTTTGAGGAGTTCGAGGACGCCGACTGGAATGGACAGGCAGAAGAGACGGACGCGCACATTAAACAGCAGTGGCAGGACGACTGGGACGTGGACGAAGCGGACGACGAGTTTTGCAACCAGTTGCGGAAGGAGCTGCAGAAGAACAAGTAGATGGGAGGACGTGGACGTCGACTCGCAGTGCAGTCCTCCAGTAGCTCTTGGAGAGCCACGGCATGGCAGGACACGGCACGGCACGATCGGATCGTCGCTGATACCACGGCGTTACTGTCGCTGATTCAGTGACGAAGCTAAACCGTCGCTGATTCGACTGAGCATGAATGTCTACAACAGAAAATAAAGAAAAAATAGCCAACAATTTAGCAAAAACGGCACGACCACGTCCTGAGCTAGGCGGTCGTCCCCGCTGCAGCAGGCATCACTTCATTTCCACCATCTTTTGTCTCCAAGAAGAGAGTCCTTCTCTTTACATCCTGATCAAAACAATAGTCGGGGACCCATCCCAGCACCCAATCAGGTAATCGCCCGCGTCCGCAATCTCTATCACTTCTTCTCGTCTTCAAGATGCGCTGGCACGTCCGGCTCAAACAGCGCATCACGCTTCCACTCGGGCACGTACTGCTTGAACTGCGCAGCTTCCCACTCGTCGCTCGTGTCCAGAAAGTCTTCGGGCTTGACGTCAGCCAGATCGGGATTGCGTGGACGTCGCGCTTCTTTCGCTGCTTTCGCAGCTTGCTCAGCCTTGGCTTTCGCAATGGGATTCAGCAACAGCTGCGCCTGCTCGAGCGTCACGCGCGTGTTCATGAGCCTGTCCACGGGGTCCCGGACCTTGAACGTCTGGAACCGAATGATGGGGAAACTGTTCTTAAGCTTGGCTTCCACTTCCTTTAGCACCGTTGGCGACGTATTGAACTGCTGCACAATGAGTTTGCCCTCGTAGTGGCGCTGGAGCGCTCCCCATCGACGGTCTTCGATGCCGTAACCCAGTCGCTTCTCTCCGCGATTCTCCGTCGACCGGATCACGCCGCCGTGGGACGTCACGAGTGCTGCACAGTCTTGAAACACTTGCGCCACGTCTTTCGGCGGGGACTTGAGGTTCGTCAAGAGCACCTGCTTGTACAGCGGCATCGTGATCGAGGACTTCCGGTCCGAGTATTTGTGGGTGACTACTGGATGCTTGAGCGGCGCCAGTGGTTAGGATGGGCTGATTAGGGTGGCGTACACCATTTGGTGTGAGGGCGCCGGTTTGATTGCGAAAAGAAGGTGGGTACACGGACAGCTGGCGCGGACCGTAACTCGATTGTCGTAGCCAGTTTATCGTGCACACTGAATGAAAGACCGGTAAAACTGCTGAACAACGAGTACTCGAGGTAAAGTTGGCTACATTTTCGTACACTTGTGTTGCGTAATAATCAAGGACACGCACGGGTGTGGAGCTGCTCAGAAAGGTCCTGGCGTACATGAAAATCTCATCGCCTTGCTGTCCACTTCCCTCAGCGTCTCTCCTGGCTTAGAGAACATTGAGGCCGCCGCAGTTTTTTTCCTTGCTTGCGATCAACTCGATGAAAATTGAAGATTGGCATCATCACTTGACTTGGCTGAACTGCTGTGTCAACAACGACGTAGCAGTAGTCTAGCTACTGCTATAAGAGCGAAGGGCTCAATGTTTGTCAGCCACGTGCAACAGCATTTGCTGCAGCAAACAACTTGACTTCGCCTTCATCGCCAGGACGCGAGAATAGTAGCCCTCAAAAGCATCTCCACGGGCAACGCTGCTGCTTCAAAGGTCAACTTCCCAGCACGCCTAAAATGGTGTGCATCTCAACTTCATCGCAAAATTGCACCATTGTGTCAAATCTGACGACACGTGTGTGTTGCTGAAGTGCACCTCGACGACGACGTCCATTTATGTGTCGATTTTTGTAGCAGTGACGACCCACGGTGGACATTATCCACAATTCCGTCGATGTTGCGCTCGTCGTCGTCGTCTGTAAATATTGTTGCGACTCATCTCAGTCTGGAAGTTAGTTGTTCGTCTGAGTCGGTGCATTTGGCCACGAGGTCGCAACGATAGTATAGACATGCACCCATGAGGCGGCCACGATGCAGTAACGTGTGGATATTCCCGACGTGAGAGCACACCTCGAATGTTGAACTCCAACGGCAGACGATATCATCGAATACGTCACTCTTGCCTCTCTTGAGCAAATTCTCGCAGGTAGCGAGAATTGGCTCGCTTCAGCTCTCCCCAAATCAGTATCTCAAGTCTCCCGCAACTGTAACGAAATCTACCACAAAAACAAACTCCAGTTCCATATTCCGCAATCGATCATTGCATCCACCAGTAGCTTTCTAATCAAAACCACTTTTCATCAACTCGGGTCACCACACCCTTCACCGAGGTCTCCGCTACCTTCTTGTCACATCACAACCTCGACTCCGTCCCCGACTACGACTTCTGCTGCTGCTATACTCTCTCTCTCTCCGCTTCAACCTCCATCCACTCGAGCTCCTTTGTTCCTGCATCTCCACAGCCGACCCCAGGCCAGCTCCATCACGTCGATACCGCTCTTTACATCCAGAGCGCGACCGCTCACGTCTTCTCTCTCGCTCATTCTCTCGAGGACGCCTCCGATCTCCCCCTCCACTGTTCCTACTTCTGCTCCGCCATCGATCCTCCCTCCAGTCCCGTTCCTCTCCACAGTCCCCCAGTTTCCGGCGTCCCCGTCTCAGCCTCTTTTCCACACTCTCTCGAATGCTGTCTCCGCCCCCAATCTGCTGCAGCTGCTGCTTCTTCTTTGCCCCTGCCAGCTGCACACGCACCGTCTTGCCCAGAATCGCCATGTCCTCCTGCTCACTCACTTCGACCGCTCGCTTTGCCTCTTCTGGACGTGCAAAATACACAAACGCAAAGCCCGGTGGCTATGCCACATATCCCTTTCATTAGTGATACTAACAGCATGACAGTAGGAATAATAGTAATAGCAAAAATACAGCGGCTACATCCTCTCCAGCCGCGTCTGAACGTACGCGGCGTGCAATCCAGACGCTGTGGATCGTGCCAAAGCGCGCAAACTTGTGCGTGAGGTCGCCTTCCTTGGCCCTGGGCAGCAAGTTTCCCACATAGACGCGACACGCTGCTTCCACGCTGGTCTCCATGATTCGTACTTACGGACACGGACATCGAGTGACGTACAAGTCACTAAACCCAGGGAAACCACCCCGCACATATGCAACCTCCCTAAGTACGAAGTGCGCACTCCATGGCGGAATCGAGCAAGGACGTGGAGGCGCTGGATCGCGTGCTGTTCCGTCTGGCAAGCGTGGACGACGAACGCATGCTGCAGGTCCTGCAGTCCCTTCTGCCGCAGCTGCTTGTGCTTTACCCGCGCTCGGTTTCGACGTCGCTCGAGCAGCAACTGAAGGAGAAGGTGCGTGCTTTTGGACTGGAGACTCAATGGAAACGAAGACAAGCGTGTATTTACTTACGTGCTGCCAGGTACTACGCGCCGTGTCCCACATCAAGACGCGTCTGGACGCCCTGCACCGTCCGGCGCTGCCGCTTGATGCGTTGTGCCAAGTGCTGCAGCAGTCGGCGCTTTCTGTCGTGTCCCATAACCTCGCGTTCCTTTTCCTTGGTGCGGCATTTCCGTCTATTTTCATTATTATTCGCTACTTTATTTCGTTTTATGATACATATTTTATGATAGTTTACCTATTTATTAAAATGTTCAGTCTACATTAATTGGTAGTATGAGCAGTAGCGGAAGAGGTGGTCGTAGCAACTTCCACATTCGTTTTTACTCGTTTTTATGTTTGTTTATATTCGTATTGTGTCCACACCGATTGCATTCTGATTGCTGTGGCCCTTGCTGCTAAGATTCGCTCACATGTTTTATTCGTATCCACGCATGTGTCTCTTGTCGTCTTTTTACAGAAATGGGATTCGACGCGGCGTCGACTGAGCTACAGACGAGAGTGTTGGCGGCTGTTGTCCAGATCGTCTCACGGCTCTCAGTCTCTCAGCAAGAGACTTTCTGTCGCTTGCTTGTGCGTGCCTTGCCTGTTACTGCCTCTGTGGTTTTTCCGCGCACAGAAGGAGCAGCTCGAGACCAACGAGAAGTGGAAATGACATTGAACAGTGACGTGATTGACCATGTCAATGAGGGTAACGACGCCAATATCAATGTCGTGCTGGATTTTATTCTCGATCTTGTGTTGTATGAACCGCCAAGCTCGACAAGAACAAACGCGACGACGACATTTGGTTTGATGACGCCGCGACTGGAGCGATTACAACGTGTCAAGATACCACAATTCGATCGTGAAGTGTTGTACAAAGTTCAACTTGATGCGTTGAGATTGGTGAAGGAGATGACAATCCCTACAAGATGTAAAATCCCAGTGTACCTTGCCGGTAGCGCTTCTTTCCATCACGCCGTGAAGGACTTTAGCAACGAGCAGCTGTCACGTGTGGTCAAACTCGAGGAAACAGAGTTAGAGGATGCTGACGTTGCGCGCCGCCTGATGGCATTGGTGCTCGGTAGTCAAGTGGCTCAGTGTGCTGGAGCTTCCGAGAGGGGCAAGTGCGATCATGCTGGCCGACCGGACGCGCCTGGCCGATGCAAGTATTTTGCAAGCGCTGTCTCTGCTTTCGGCTTCGACCGCAGCCACAAATGTGCAACCCCTGATGCTGCAATTGTTGTGCCACTTGATGTTCGGCACAGAGCCGTCACGGCCTCGAGGAATGGCAAGCAAGATCAAGCTAGCGAGTGTGCAGCTATGCCAGTGGACATTTCACCACTGTCATTTATCCTTACTTGAGGGCTTGCTCGGTCCTGTGTTGTGTCCATCCTTGTTGCGTTCACTTATGGATGCTGAGCTTGAGGCTTCCGATGCGAGTTGCCTGCTTGAGTTTCGCCAGGGTGTTTATGGATCGATGTCGATACTCGCGAGCCGTAGTCCTACGATAGTCGCAACATCTGAACAGGCCTTTCAGGTGTTACTCGTTCGTTGCTTTGTCGAAGAAGAATATCGAACGGGTGCAGGAGCGCATGCTCTTAAGGCATTCACCTCTTTAGCTGGTGCATACGCGGTGGGGTCCACCCTTGAAGTACGGGTTAAAGTGATTCAAGAGCTTGTTGCAATACTCAAGAGCTCCAAGCTCTATGACTCCGGCAAGAACTACGCACGCGTGAGACGTGCTGTAGCCACATGGTGCGCTGAACTATTGATCGCTTCCGTTCCGGAACAATATGACGTTGCTTTGCGTCTCTCCGTGATGCGGCTGGATGCGCTTGATGATGAAGATACCCGGCGCTCGATCAACAAAGCTCTGTTCTCCGGGCCATTACCATCCGCAGCTGCTCTCGTGCAAACTCTTCGAGCAACATTTATACAAAAAGACCTCAAGACGAGCATGCATGATCGTGCAGCCGAAAGTTGCGTCCGATTTTGCGTTGAAGTTTTGAAAGCCTCTCAAGACAGCAGCTCCCAGATTGAGCGGAGCTGTGTCGTGGAGTACATCACGCACACGCTTTTCGGGCGATCAGAGCAAAGCAATTCTGCTGCCGTTCGATCTTCGTTGATATTCGAGACAGCGGCAACTGCGCTTATGGAATTATGTGAATTTGACGCAAAGAGTGTAAGCGCCGTGCTATCCAACTATGCGAATGATTTGTTTGATGTCGTTGATGTCAGTCAAGATCGCATGTTTCGAACGAACATAGCTGCAATTGTGGCGCACACCATCAGAGCTGAAGCACTCACAGTCAGCCAGATTGTGTCAGAATTTATTGTAGTTGGCATGGCCAGGCTGGATCGATGCAGTCTCGAGAATCAGCTGCTCGGGGTTGTTTACATTCTTAGTGGTGTACTAAGCTGTATTGATTCTGACACCATGGTAAACACTGCATCTGAAGACGAGCTACAACTATTTTTGTGGTGTTTTCGGAAGATGGTTGATCTTTTCCACTGCAAGGTGAAAGAAGGCTCCATTTTTGCACTGCATCCGACAAGCGATCTTGCTCAGAATGAGCATATGGCGATCTTGCGAAGTTTAATGGATGGCGTCGGTCTCAGTGGTACGCTGAAGAGTCTTATGCGGAGCTCTTTGAGTGCTGAGTGGAGTTTGTTAAAGGCCAAGGTGCTTCAAGATTTGGGGACAGTTATCGGATGGAAGCCGGATGGTGCTTACTTGGATGACCGGGTGGCCCCAAAGTTAGTTGCAGTAAAGAAGATCGCAATTGAGAACGTAGGCCGAGTCGTATCAGGCCTACCCGGCATGATGTCTGCGGATTTATCAAGTGGTGTTGAAGCCGTCTTGGATGCTCTATTCGACCTTGACGTAGAGACTGATGTCGAGTTGCAGTTCGATGTAGGAGAAGTGCTTGTGGCACTTGGAACCCATGATTTCGAAGAGACTTTCGCAGTGGACCGTCAGGCCAAATACGACGTTTTTGCAGCGAATCGCGCTGCTACGATTTTTGAGCGAGTCGTAAACGAGCATGCCGAATCTCGGCAGCCAAAAAAGCGTCGTATTGCCGCAGTATGGCTTCTGTGTATGTGTGCGGCAGGCCTGACAACATCGTCGCGGAACGATGGACGTACGGTAGCGTATGCTACATCGTGGGCGGGTGTATTTCGCTCTCCTGCCTATTCACGATCCATTCTAAGCGTGCATGAGTTTTTCGTGACGATGCTTAACGACGCAAACGAAGTAGCGAAAGAATGTGCAGTGAAAGGACTAGCTTACCTGCGACTGCATTCGCCGACTGACGAAATGGGAGCGCACTTTAGCGAGAGCTTATTCCGGCGATTACGATGCTTCCGGGCGTTTGTGAGTTCAAGTGACGTCGTTGATGACGCTGACGACGGTGGGCAAGCTGTAGATCATAGCAGAGAAGATGGTAGGTCCACTGCGGCTATACTTTCGTCCTCATCGGGTTCGGTTATTGAAAATGCAGCATACCGAGAGGTCAGCAACGTTGCAGCAGATGTCGGCGACCCGGAGCTAATGTACGCGCTTTTGTACTTGAGTACGAAAGACCCGATTTGGGAGTCGATCGCAACGTCAAATGCATCAAGACCAATGTTGAGACCAGGCATGTTCTCTTTCGTCACTACTGACGAGAAATTCCGTACGTCAGTCATTGCGAAAGCTGGTACTCAGTGGATGGCTGAAGATTACTCCAGCAAAACAAAACTCGCTCCGTGGTTGTTTCTGCTGAAGTTCCATCCACACAGCAAGGTAGCAGCGGTCATGAGCAACTTATGGGAATTCGTAAAGGGAAACTCTGCCACTATAGCAACAGCAACGGGCGAAAAGGCGCTGCTTCGACAGCATTGGCCCCTTTTCTTTCAGTTCACTTTGGCTCGACTTGAGAATGATCGGAATTTCAAGTATCGCGTAGCTGCTTGTCTTGCCCTCGTTGATTTGCTGAACGGAGCCGAAGCCGACGATGTGAGGGAAAGCTTTTTACGGCTGTGGATTTGCGCATCGCGTGCGGTAGATGATGTGGTGGAGGCAGTCGCTGTTGCAGGTGTGAAGCTTTACCGATATCTAGGTGAGGTGAGTTTGCGCATTGCTTTGAGGGATACAGCGTGTAGCTCTCTACTCGTCAAGTTTTTGGTTGAGAATGGGATTGTGAGTAAAAGCAGTGTTTGTCGCGCGCTGAGCATCGATATATTGATACGCCTGGTAAAGACACTGAAGGCGCACGACATTCAGGACCGCCTCGCGCCGCTTTTGCTGAAACTGCTCGAATACTTGTCTTCGTTGGAAATGCCAGAGCTGCAGTACGCTCAATTTCACGTGGAAAAGAAAGATCAGCTGGAGCGTCTACGCGTTTCGATTAGCCAGGCAGGACCTGTTGGTCAACTGCTGGACTTGGCAACAGTACGGCTGAAAGAGCTTGCTGGAAGTACTGATTGTGTCACTGTCGTCGGCGAACTCGCTCGTGGTGTAGCCAACCTGTTGAAGTTTGGTGTTGGACTGAACACACGAGTAGGTACCGCCAATTTTGTTATCACACTTGCGGGCGAGCTTCCCTTCGAGCTTCGCAAATGTAATGGAGCCGAACTGTTGTTGCGCCGTGTATTGATTCCATATGTCGGCATGAAGACAGCAGGTGAGAATGATCAGTATGGGGATGAAGAGAGTCGATACGGTGGAACAAGCGGTATCGACGGAGGTGATTCCAGTCTGGCCGCGACATCAGGGTTGGCCGATGGACTAGTTATTCAGAGCTACTGTCGAGCTGCTGCTTACTTATGTCCACTCGTAGATGCTGGTACAGTTCGTGACTACGTCCGGCGTGGTATATTTGCGTGTAGCACACTCGGTCAGTCGAGCAGTAATATCTCCAGCTCTTCTGCTTTCCCACTTCGGGATGATGTAGAAATGGAAGCTGATGAGACGGAGAACGTGCGGTTGAAATCGCACCAGGTATTCACCAGCCGATTTTTGCTGATTAGTGCTCTCGCAATGACGGAGCTCGTGAAGAAGGTGCCACCAATCGCGGATACAGGCACAGTGGTTATTGATGATATGCGTAACACTTGGTACTGCACGCACGTCTTCCCCGCTGCTTTTATCGGCCAGTTTGCTGCAGCAAACGCTTTGAAGAGCTCATGGAAGACTGTGCTAGATGAGTTACCACCTACGGTGCTTTACGCATCACGATCGTTGGATGCTGTACTTCAAGCGATTGCGCTACTGTTGGCACATCCAGCCTGGGACACCCGACGACAAGCTGCTCGGGCTTTGCAAGCGATTTTCGCAAGCGCCACGTACTGTTCCAAACTGTCTGTCGAGCAAGTTGAACGCATTTGGTGCAAGCTAATTGACGCTGTGCCGGGTCGTCTCTGGAGAGGCAAGGGTGTCATATTGGCGTCCATCGTCTCTCTGGCGGCTTTCAAGATGGAAACCAGGGCCACCGATATGGATGAAGAATGGACTAACAAGCTGTCGCTGCTTCTTGCTGAGGAATGTGCCCGTGCGTGGAAGAACCAGGATTTGGCGTACCTTGAGAGTGCAATTATAAATCTCGGAAGGCTTTCCGCGTTGCTACCAGCTGAACAGAGCGATTTGCGTCGTTTGAATGTTTGCTCTCTGAGAAGTATGCTTGCTGAATGGATGACGGGGAACGCGATGGAATCGTCTGAGTCTTCCTGGCCAGCTCTCCCACCGCTGCTCATTAAGTGCGTGTTTGAAGCACTTTCACTGATGTGGCCTCCCTTGGCAGCTGCACAAGGAACAGCAGGTATAAAGGATGTCGAGATAAGTGCGGAGACCCTGCTCTGGCTTTGTGCAAGCGTGGAGTCGCCGCATTTGGCCGCTTGGAGCGTCCGCAGAGCCATTTTCCAGACGTTGGCTGCAGTTGCAGACCGTGCACCTCTAAAGGCACTCGCTGGCAGCAATGGTGTTGTGGAACGCATGGTTGACAGCTGTTGCGGGTCGTTTGGTGTGGCTGACGGGAAGTACTCGATGGTTCGTGTAGCCGCAGCTGGAGCTCTTGTACCGCTGCTAAAACGCGCAGCGAACACTTCGAATCTGGCGTTGAGACTCGTCGTCCAGCGCGAGCGGATGGCGGCAGCTGTGCAGACGCTGTCGGCTAGTGAGGAAGCGTCGGAACAACAGGCCGCTTTCAACCTGAAGTCTCAATTATCGCTAATGCCTTGATGTGTAGCAGTACCGTGGCAGGATAAGCAGGACGCTCTTGGTGGTGTACGTCTTGTACCGCATCAGTGAAGTTGCCACCGATTGTCGGACTGATTGACCTCGCATGTCCTCTGCGGATCTATGGTTTTTCTCTCATAAGTTCTGTTCGCGCTGATCACATTTGATAGATTGCAATGAGCGCATGCAAGTGTTTCTTTGCGAAAAAAAGTCACTGGGAATGTTGCCAGATGGCAGATACTGCGGCAATGACAGGACATTCGACACCGAAGACTCACAGTCATGACCACTATCTCATTTATACAAAACAATTCTTCTCTTCACGAGCCGTCCGGCATCATTTTCATGATCTTGCTGTAGGCAAACTCTGTAATTTACTTTGCTTCCGCCCAAGTTCTTCCATCGACCATGAGTCAGCTGCGTTGACGATTGGCAAACCACAGGATTGGCCTGTGCACGATTACAATCATCGACCTGCTCGAATCTCAACTGGACAAGATACCACACCTTTGGGAGGAATTGATAAACTCTTGTGGCGAGTATTGAAGATGTAGTTGGCATCTGTGACCAGAAGATATCGTAGCTAGCGGCGAGTTAGGGCAGGCGTCGAGACGTTGGAGAAGTTCAATTGTACGGGGAAACTGCCTAGTGGCAAACTTGGCAGCTGAAATGTAAACGGTTGGTTTGCAACAGGTGTGCAACAGATTCAACGCGAGAGTGCGTGACGTTCTATTGAGTACCCGCTTCGCCGGGATAGCGATGGACTGAGCAGCTGATGGTACTTTGCTCATTGCAAAGCAGAATCGGTCACACACGCAACTAAATCTGTATCACAATGGCATGTGCTGCAAGCGAATTGGTGATTGAGATGCTGAACTTGCGTTAGTTGATCCACCCACATCTCCGTTGCTGATCTTTTGTGGATGTTGTCACTCACTTTTCTAGTCAGTTTCATCATCTTTCCGACGTCAAGTATCTTGAAGCAGCTTCCGAGACTGCCTTTGAATGCACACGAAGGCTCACATGATGATCGAAATCAGCGACGAGGTGCCCGTAAAGCCTTTTTCCGTTAGTATGTCACGATTGTCAGCATAACATGCTAACGGAGCAACCATCTGCCGAGATATCTCATATCCTTGCACAATAGTCGCACCGCTTCGCATTTACTCCATCTTGATCTTAACTGCTTTGTCCACGTAGGGAAAGCGAGAATAAATAGCCATGCTCGTAGCAACGAGAGCTGCGGCAATAAACACTTCGTTCGGCAGTACTGCATCATACGCATAACTCTCGACAAATGCCGTGAAGGCGATACCACTAACGAGCGCAAAGGACTTGAGCACACCACCGAGTTGTTTCGTGACGGTACCAACGAGCAATCCGCCGAGGGCATTGCTCATCACAGGAATGAGCGTATAATAGTCACATCCTTCAAACGTCTTGTCCAGACGAGTCCACCACGTGTCGGCAGCCGACAACTCGGATCCAGGCGTCGTGACAACCAAAGACCACATCGCTGGTAGTATAATCAGAAAGAGACTGCCATAGATCGAGAGCTCAATCGTCACAAGTGCAGCATCACGTTTATGCTGTTGCATGGCACGCTGAGTGAGCGTAGACCCGAAGCCAGAGAGTAGTGAAGCGAGAAGCACCGACACAAGTCCGAGTTGTAACGCCATGGCCGATGGAGCAGCCAAGTCTTGAGAGGTATTGCTGCTGCTATTGCTGCTGTGTTTAGCAAGTGACAGGAGCACAGCAGCGCTTAATAGCAGCAACATAGCAAAGCACTGCTGCTCTGAGAAGCGTTGACCCATGAGAAAGTAGAGGAAGAGAGCAGCTGACAAGAGCTTGGTCTGGTTCATCAAGTTCGATACAATGGATGGCAAGTGCTGGTACGCGACTTGGATCAGTACGTTCTGCACGGCGTATGTACAAGCTGGTAAACCCGAAGTGACGAGACTATCTCGTAACCTCCACGTCTTCGCAACTCGGCTTATGCTTCCTGAAGACACGAGGATCAGCAGTGACCCAAGCAGCTTGAAAGCCTCACAACCAACGACTAAGACTGTGCGGTTCTTGACTCGACTTGCAAACTCCTTGGACAGAATCGGCTGCAGCCCAAATTGGAGCGAAAGCAGTACCATTGCAACGTATCCGATAGAAACACTTGAAGATTTCTTGGCAGTGATTGCACCTGTTGGTGCTAATGGTGCCTTGACGGCAGCCGCCATGGACTTGACGAGAGAATGAGGTCTGCAAATAAATGACTGGACGGGAAGTGATGGTATCAGGTATTTCAGCGCGACTGTAACTGTATTGTTTCGTCCAGTACTTTCCACGAAAATGTTCGCTATTTTATTATTCAGTGACACAGTGAGGCAGAGTTTTCATCCTCGCAAAATGTCGTTCTTGAGGTGTTCTGGACATTTGCTATCACGTGACATCAGCTTTTTGGCAAAGAACGAGAACAAACATGATGTATAACCAATTTGATTTCTATCGTGATGTCACTGTTGAATGAGAAGTAGCTTATAAATGATGCCACACCGTGGACAGACTGGCCAAGTCTGCATTGAACGAAGTAAAAGACTGTGAGGGTCGACTTTATGTTGCTCGGTGCAGCATGGACCCAGAGTTGCATCGTCTTTTCTTCTATGAGGAATTGAATTGCACAATATTCATTGACAGTAATGTTGGACAACGCTGTGTGCATCAACGAATCTATGGAGCTAGCAGAGGGACAATCAAGCGAGCAGCCACGTTCTTTGGCTTGTGCCATGACCAGGATCATCGTCTAGAACGTAACCTGTGAACTTGCTATCACGTTTTATTATAGAAGAGAATGGTGCTGGATTGATGGGTGTGTAATTGCAGTTTAGCAGGTAGATAGTGCTGATGCTAACATGAGAAATTGCTCCCATTATAATCATGTTCTGCTTTGTCAACATTTCGGATCACTAGTCACTTCAGCGGCGGCCTGATCAATGACCTCGCTATTCCGTACAGTTCCATGCATCGTCACGCCACACCTTAGATTGAATCAACAAAGTTCGTTGACAAGCGATACTTTCCATCTGCAGTCTCTCCATGCATGACTGCTCGTGGTTTCTATATCACACCTATCGATGTGTAGAATTGCATGATCAAGTCGTTCGGTGGCTCGTTGAATCAAGCCCTGTGTGGCATATGCTTATTCTTCATCGTTCATTGCACGTGGGTCCATTCTAAAACGGATTGAAGATTGCAAGACAATCAAAGCAATTACATACGCTCGGTTGAGTCGGAACTAATTGGTCACGGCTGGATCAAACATTTGCCGGGCTAGTAGTGCGCTGATTGACCGATTCAACTGACGAGAGTGCTACATCGTGGGGGACGAAACGGCATCAGATGATGGGATACTGAATCGGGCATAGAGATCCACTCACCATTATTTATGAAGCTATGCAAAGTGTCGTGTCCACCTGGATGAGCCTTAGGTGTATCAATCAAAGAGCAGCTAGTTAATCCAGACAGAGCGCGTCAATGTGAAGTTTTCGTCATAACTAACCGCAGGCATCGTTATAGACGAACATTTCTCCTTCTTTTCGCCCATTTTTCTTCTATCCCTCGTCAGTTGATTTACTTCGCTGCGCTTATTATTCCAGCCCAAATGATCATTGCTTCACGTTGGCAGTTTGGTAGTACCACTCGCACCGCTCAATACCGAATGTATTCGCACCATAGCGTTGTCTCTGTCATCAATATGGTCCTGCTAGTGGACGCGGATGACTGAGGGTATCCATCTACTCTTGTCATATGTAGATGGTGGTAGCTGTTGACTTTAGTTGAGCGATTGTTGACTGCTTATTCAGCACGAACTATGACTCGTATCAATGATACCGGATGATCCAGACAATTGCGTTCAGCGAACAGGCACATCAATCCGAGAAACTTCCGTTCCCTCCTCCTATTCTTTCACCTCGCATGTGACGTGAACTCGACGGGAAAACGTGCTGAAGTGTAAAAGAGTTGAACACGAAGATTTGCCTCCGCGTGCACATGATTGAGTATTTACGTGACTTGCACTACAAGTAGTCTTTTTTCTGCCCAACTGAGCACTGGACGAGAAGAAATGTGTAACTTCTGAGACAGACCCCGCTTTGTCCAGCGGACTTTTGCATCAGAGTCATCAGTCTTACCGCATATCGTCATCCGATAGCTTAAAGAAAGCGCTAGAGAGGAATCGATTCACTAAAATTAAACAGGTTGAGACGTAATAATAGGCTCCTATACGTAAATACTACAGCACAATTTGAAGCGACAATATCGTATCGTCATAACGTGGATGCCACAAAACGTTTTGGATAACGGACTGGTCGTCATGTTAGCTTACGCTTACGTGTAAAGATCGGGTTTGTCTGGGCCGTACCAAACGAAAATCTGCACCTTGTCCGAATTCCGTGCCCACTGATTCAAGCGATGGTATTCAATGTAAATTAAGATTGGGAAGCAAGCTCTAGAGCTCGCCCTTGATATGAGTAATCCAGTTCAAAGAGCTGAATCAAGTTGCAAAACAATATACAACAGCAGTTTTCACCGAAGAATGGGTATGACGCTGTGCTTGTCTGTATACACCTAATCGCGTTATTTGCAGACACTACACACACCGATAAGTACGATTGAAAAGTTTGGTATTTAACCTCGCGCACACTCACTAATAGCTTCACCCGTCGGGCTCGCAATTATTCGATTTACTCGTAAATAATGAAGTAATAGATTTTGAATATTTTAAGTGGGTGGATCCCGACTGAATAACAAAGTTTTGTGTCTTCGCTCGCACAGCTCACTTTGAGATCCCCGACAGCGAAAGACGGCTGTATTCTGATGTGAAGATGCCAAGATGACAAGTCATCAATCATGGGCATGGCTTTCTCGCGCGCACATCGACGCTTCTTTGGAAAGAAGGAGATAAGCATCATCTCGGTCGGTGTTGAAGCTTTTTGTCGACCACGATGCTGTACAAGAATAAGCTATGAGTAGCGGCGACGATCATCTAAACTATCGGTACGTGAAGCAATGTTTATAGCTGCATTATGAAATAAAAAGAATAGCGATGCTTGCCCTGGTGCCTACTACTCTGTTTGTGTTGTATCTGATGGACGACAGTAGTCTAGCTGAATTTTCATTTATGAATTGATGGTAGGATACAACGCTGTGTCAGTAAATCATAAGAACATTAGCTCTACGGCGCAATATGAACGGGGCGCCCTTTGTTTGAGGTGTCACAAACCTTCACGTACACTCGTACATGCAGAGGAAGCTGATCTAATCAAACGGCTGGTATGAGTAAAGGTAAGAAGAGAACTTTGTTTAATATACTTGAGCTATCAATATAACTTCAGTCTTTATCTAACTTTATTTTCGACATTGTTGTATGACGACAACCTGCTCACCACTCATTACGCGCGTCTAGCAGCGATTGTTGTTAATCTTGGTTGATAAGTCTTTATCAACCAATCTTTGAGCAGCGCATGAATATTATCCTAGGGGAATTATATAACATCAATATTACCTATCTCAGATGATATTGGTAGGGAATTGTCACGCTAGGCAATCTCCCAACAGACACTGTTTTGTGTCAATATCATGTAATAAGATACCCCGTTACATCACCACCCTCTTTACCATCAATTACTCGTTGATTGAATTTAATCGATTGGGACAGGGTGGTCACCGTCAGATCACTCTGGGAAGGGGGGCACTTGTTGGTCAAATTCCGACTCATTTGCCAATTTATCGCATGGTGTCAAAGTCCAGGCAGTGCGCTGCCGAAGCAGCCAGAAAGGCGGTTGCACGCATGCGTGCAGCCGAATAAAGTACTTCTCTTGCTTCAGAAGCAGGTGATCCTTCGCCCACTGTTGCGACTCAGCAACAGGCAATGCCTTTGTGAATAGTCCACGTGGTGAGTCACCATGTGTGACGTATACGTCTGCTGCGTCTGCAGCGAGTGTAGTGACTCACAATACGGATAAGACGAGAAATAGAGCTCATCGATTCTGGCGAGTGGGACGATGCATCCGACTCAAAGGCAGCGTCTTTTTCCTTTCAATCATCCGGGGCGGACACTGCATGAGCCAGGTTGACTTGCACTGGGGAAAGTGGCGGCAGTATGCCTGATATCTGCGGACCGAGCTATTCTCTTGACAAATTCTCGTCTCAAGAAAGTCCATATGGCAATCGGACGCGTGGTGATAGCGGCGACCCACCTATACGTCACCACAAGAGAAGCAACTCGAGGGACTGAGCTGCTACTGGTGTCAGTGCTCACGCTGACACCACACAAGAGGCCAGTGACCGCAATGAACTGCGCCACGCTCCTCAAGTGAAGTCTTCATCGATGCCATCACCTTATGAGCTATAAAGATTGGCCATTATGATCACCGAACGGGATCGAATCCCGTTGTTCGACTGTAGCAGGATCTGTCCTTCCGATTTCTAGTACGGAAACTGTTCGTGCTAAGGAAGAATTTAACACCGATGTGTTCTGCAAGCATCGGTTATACAATGGCAACCGTGGTCGTGACGGTAAGGCCTTTGAGCAGGGATGGAATGCCTTCATACATAACATGGAGTGCATTGGCTGTGAGACCTGGCTCGGAAAACTTGATGCAGCTCGCATCAGATTTAAGAAGCGCAACCCAGTCGGTTTACGACACAAGTTGCTTAGGCTGCTGAGAGAGGCAGGATTACCCTGTCTTTCTTGGGGTGATTCGTGTCCGGGTTGCCTGGAAAACTCGAACCAAGCCCTTAGGGAGGTCTACCTTCCTAATGATCCCTACTGGAGGGCGCGCATCTCTTCTGGGGTGGCCGAAGCGAAGGATAATTTGCAATCCCTGTGCTCGCGTTCGGAAAGGTCGTTTTTCGGTGGCTCTTCTTTTAACGCAGCGGGTGGGTATCGTCATATTGCTCGACAAGACCCGAAACATCAACGATCAGCTGGGCACGAGGATCTCAGCTGTCTCAGGCCGGTAGATAGACACGCCAGCGGACGAGGTAACTCGTCCGGTCGCCATTCGCGTCGCGGTGGTTCAAAAAACGCTCCACTGAAAGGCGTTGACCGTCGATTGAGTCCACCCAAGGATGTGGTGGCGGCGGGAACACCTGATCCGGCTCGAGGGCCGTATCAGCTATATGTTCAGGAGCTGAATCATGTAACGGAAAAGTTCAAGATGACCTGACTCATGAACGG